TCTGCTCTTTTTCATTCACAATGAAACTTTTCTTTTTTATTAAATCATTTGCTAGTTTGTTGCATGCACCAGCACATCATTCTTATTTATTTCTCTTTATTATTTCTGCTTTTATTTGGAAGAAAAAAAACAATTTTTCTATTTCCCTTTTTTGCTCCTTGGTCTTCTCATTTTATCAAAAAAAGATGTGAAATTATTTTTCTAGATTAAATACTTCCGAGTTGATGATGTTAAATGGGGTTGTGTTATTTTAGGAAATTAAAGATTTAAATGTAATCGTTAATTTGATGTTTATATAATACCGAAATGGGTTATCGGGGTTGAGACACTAAAGCTATATTGATCACAAATGAGTTTAATGGTTGACTATCTGTAAGTATTTGATAAACAGACCCACTTTCTCCCCTAAAATGGGCTACGTTACTGCATGCAGTCTAGTATAACTTCATTATTTATTTAATGTCCCTATAAGTATCTGATCGACACTTTCTTCCTTCGATGACTTTACAGATCAATAGTGACTCATGAACTCCCTTAGATACCGACTAAAACTTTTTATCGCTGGCTACCGCTTGCCAATTTCCTATACCAAATGCAATACTGTCTCTATCAACAGCCTCTCCACAGCTATCTGATCGACGCACAGTTTATTTAAACTACTAAATCCTTCTCTCCTCCAAAACACACAGCACGGAAGTCAATAAGCATCACATCCAAAAACAATTTCTCATTTTCCCTTCAAGAAAGCATAAAGGAAAAGGAAAATTTCTCTTCACAAACAAAAGAAGAAGAGAATACAATTTTCTACTGTATGTGCGTTTCGGATTACGGAAAATCAAGTGAGGGAAAAATAAGAAGCTTCTTAAAGCTGGTCGGTCGGATGGTTGGTTGGTCTTAAGCAAACAATTATGTTTTCTTCTTCCACTTGTTAACATTTCAGATTCACTCATCTTCATTTCGTTTCCCCGTTGTGAAGGCCATAGTAAATATGAAAGGCACAGATGTACTTTATTTATTTCTGTAGCTTTCTCTTACTTACCTAAAGAGTTTAACCCATTAGATCTGTTTTTAGTCACTCTTGAAGCCTGACTAGAAAATAGAGACATTTTTACTTATTAAAGATCAACTTTGGGGTCATTCAGAAATTATGTTTGTTAAAAGTTGAGAGTGAACCCTGTCATCCGTCAATTTTTCTTGTGTGCAAAAATGTCACTAGTTGACAGACCCCTCATTTTCTCATAAATGTGACATCATTTTTTAATAACCCCTTAATGTTTTGATAAGTCACTGAATATCGTCAAAAGTTTGTTGATGTAAACTTTTTCTAATGCTTAAATTTTTTGGATCCATTGATGGTTCCCATGACACACATTTCGAGTTGATGGGACTCGTATTTTTATCGTAGAGAAAGGAGGAAATTGCTGTATTGCTGCTTCAATAGACGGATATTGAGGGGATATGAGAATATAAAATTAGGACATTTAAATGAGGAAACTTTAACTATAGCAAAGAATTTATGACTTAAGTATAAGGGATGGCTTTCCTCTTTAATCAATCACCATCTAAATAAGATCCTCATGAGATTCTATATCTTTACAAATTCAATGACCTTCAGAACATAATCTCTGTTTGCTCGTAAGCTTGATTCAAAAGTACATGACATTAGTGGCCTTTCTAATAGAGAAGGATTGCTAAACATAATTATAATTGCTATCTCCACCCCGGCTATCGTCCCAATCCTCAACAAATAAAAACATATATAGCATTCTTTCCTCTCTTTTTTTTCTTTCCCTACGGAAGCTAATAAAAAGCTCTGAATAATAAAAATTAATTTATTTCAATCCATAAATTATGCTGGCAACAGAACTGCTGTTGCTGATATTTGTGTGTATTTGTGTATGTGCTGAAATCCAAGACATTTATTTGCTTATTTTTTTTTTCTTCCTCTTGCTGGTTCCAAATGCTTCTGCTGCTGCTTGCCGTCGACTCAAATGTCTGAACTTGAAACATCTACAATTTATTCAATTTCAAATGAGATTCAATAAAGAAAATTTGTAAGTTTATATGTTGACGACAGTTTGTCGCACGTATAAGCGGAGGAAAGGCATCAGCAAAAGCGAGAAAGAGAGAAGCTTCTTGGTTATGTGTATCAATACACATATTAAAGTATGTGGAGTTGTTTTGTCAGGGAAATGTGTTTGAGTCTTTGAACTGTCTGATTGTCAGATGGTGGAATTTAAGATTTTAAATATGATAAAAAGAGGAAGTCGCTGTTCATTGATCCATGCTAATATGAGATATGTCGTCAGAGAAATTATTTAAATCTCAAAAAATAAAAACAGAGATCAACCTACACTAATTCAGCTTTACGTCATATTTTTATGAATGTAACTTTTAAAATGATTCAGATCAAACCTTTCATTTTTTCTACGAAGAAATTGAATACTTCATCCTACACTGAATTCATTCAACTCTTGAAATCCTTTAAAATATTTATTTTAGCCTATCTTAAATGAAATCACTAGTAAATGCGCTACGATCGGAATCAAATCTCCAACTTTAATTTTATCCAACTTTTATCTCCAACTAATATTTAATTTTTTCTTTTTCTTTTCTAAATATTTATGTCGATATTGTATTGAATTTTCAGCATAAGGGAGGAATGATGATGCTTCAATTTATTTTCATTCTTTTCGATTTCTTCTTGCTTGCTTACGCTACGCTTCATTGCTTGAGGTTAGTATTGATAGAGGAAAAGAGAAAGAGAAAAATTGTCGGAAAATCGGAATTATTTTTGTTGCAGATTCTTGCTTTTTCCTATTTATTTATATCAGAACTCCTTCCAGTTGTTTATTTTCAACTTCCATTTCCAGTCATTCCAATGGAATTCTCTCAATTTGTTGCTCTCATTCCAGAGAAAATATTCTCTTTTAAAAAATTCTCAACTCAGAAAATTCCAATAAGATTCTATGGATTATGAAATGGGATCTTGCAGCACATGCTAAAGATTTTTGTGTTAAGTAATTTTTAAGAGATTTTTCCTATACAAAAGAATGTTAAGATGCTGATAAAATTATCGTAATAAATGAGATTATAATTTTGTTACAAGATAAAATTTTCTTAATAGAGTCAAAAAGTTTGTGATGTTGAGTCTTTAAGCAATGATTGGATATTTTGAGATATTATCGGAATTACTTCACACTGTTGCAAAAGATATCAAGTTTCTTATCTTGATGATTCATAAAAAGAGGGAAATCTATGATAGATTTATGAGACAGCTAATTATGTAATGTTGATGGTTAATTATTACATTTTATGATGTTCATTGTTTGGATCATAACCGATAAATTTTAATAAATTACAATATTTTTTTCTGAATTCATTAAATCGGTCCCTAAGAATCTGTAAGTATTAGAATTTAGTATTTTCATGATTTATGCAAAGTTCCCTTAAGTATTAGTTTTTTGAGAAAATACCAACTCCTTTCCCTGAATAATTATTCTACGAATATTGTCAAGATATGTGTGGATATGGCTTAAAAAGTCAAATATGTCTCAAATATGCCAGCCATTCAAGGATAAACGAATATCTAAATGACTTCTTTTCAGCATCTATCGAATTGAATAGTAAAGCTTCTAGCTCAAAAATTAAGCCTTTCACAAATCATAGATATTATTCAATGGATGGTCCTGAAAACACGATTTTTCATAAACTCCCAAAAACTCATATTTTAATGTTTAATTCAATTCATTTATCGATCATGATAGAATTATAATTATTTTTTTTTGTTTTCAGCTCAATTTACGAGCATGCACACAAACATTTCGGTTGAAGGATAAAAAAAAAGAATCGAATTTCACCAATAAATTAAAATAAAAGCATTTTAAATTATTTTTTCATGATTAATCTCATTAAAATATCATATCGAATTAATTTTATAATAGCATTATGTTGAAAATAAACCCGTAAATATTTCAGTTGTGCTTTGTATTCGCCAGAAACATTTTATATGTTATGAAATTTTTAAATAGAGCTTGTGGATATTTTGGTGAAATATTTTTGGAGGGTATCTCGGCATGCGTTGAGGCAATTGATATTATTTTTTTATTGGGTAAGCATAATTAATTCTTTTATTGTGCATTTATTGGAAGCAGATTTTTCTGATCCTTTTTTTTGCTGACGACACTTCTGTTTGAAATAGGGTGTTTATGGCCGGAGCTAAGATTTTTGTTATGTTAATTCAACCTTAAAAAACTTGTTCTTCTTTATATGAATTTTGGTGCCAAAAGATTTTTTCGCAGCCTTTTTAAGAAGTTCTTGGGAATTATTTTCTATGATTCCTAGTTTCTGGAGATTCACTCCGGGTAGCTCTAGAAACCATCCATAGAATCTAATGCTCTGTCTCCTTTTGCTATGGAGTATCTTCACGATATTCAGTAGTCCTCAATAGCACAATTTTGTTAATCGATCAGAAATCTCGCGCCAAGCTGGTGTGACTCTGGAATGGTGCTGGAAATAAATAGAAACCAGCACCATACCAGAGTCATTTCAGCTTGGCGCTGGATTTCTATTTGATTAACAAACTTGTGTTATTCGGGAGTGTTTAAAGCTTTACAATTAACTAGGAAATTTGATTTTGAGAAAATTTTAACCCCTTTCCTGCTACCCCTTCTTCCCAAACCACAAAATTTCATTGAATATATTCAAAAAACAGTCTTTAAAATCTAATAATTTACAATTCTCAATATGGACTCATTAAATAATTAATCAAACTTAATCATTCCTTAAAATTCTTAACTCATGATTTAATGAATGGAGACGCTCATCAATGAGCAGAAGATTGAAGAGTTCTAGACAACTTCTCTTAAAATTATCATCCTAATTTTCTCTCACATTATTTAAGTTACTCTGTATTATGTACGAGAATCCAGTCAGTTTACTTACTTTACTTTACTTATTATCGTTCAATACGAAATAAAGATTGATAAGAAATCGGCATGTAGAGATCGTAAATAAAATTTAAGAAGGAAAAAAAATTGTATATTTTCGTTAAAGTTTCATGATAAACCTTTCAGTTTGTATTTGAAATTGCTTTAGTTCGGATCGGATCTTGAGTGAACATTTATTTCTGGTGATCAGCTGCAAACTTATCAATTATCTCGCTTGATATATTTGTGAATACATAAAATATTAGTGGACATATTTAAAAAATAAAAAAAAATTTAAATTTACGAGAAAATATTGTGTCTAAAATAGAACATATGAGACAATAGACCATGGAAGAGTTTGCGCTATGTTGGAATAAATTAAAATTTGCTGAAAATTTATCGTCCGGCTTTCAAAGTCTGTTCGATCGCGGTGATTTTGTCGATTGTACAATCGCATGTGATGGTCAATTATTGCAATGTCATAAGCTCGTGTTGGCAATATGTAGTCCATATTTTAGGGAAATATTCATGAATAATCCATGTAGACATCCAATCAGTAAGTATAAATACGCAACAACAAAAAAAATCATTAATTGCTGGTTGGAAGTAGTGAATTATTATTACTGTTATCGATTGTTCATAAATATTTTACGATATACATACCCAAAATAATGATATTTTTTTTGGTATATGACTTTTTATCAGATATCTCAAAGCTCAATATCATGATTTTTTAACAAAATTTTTTTTTTCAAGTATTTTTTTATCATACACTTAATATGTATTTCAAAAAAATGGGCAATAAAAAGATATCCGAAAATTATTATATTGAATATTGTGCCTTGTTCTCTATTAATTCAAGTACATCCATCAATTGAGTGTGCAGATGTCGAAGTGCTTATGCAATCACGTGTTCTTAGTGGCTCTTTTGGAGATTAGAATTGCTACTGTGAAATTTTATTGATGATTAGCATAAGCTTGAAATTTACATGCATAGTAATTAAATTGACAATTTTGCCATTGTAGGCAAAATTCATACATTAGGCATGAATTTAATTACAAATGATTAATTATTTCTTCAGATTAGAATTTGAAAAAAAATCAAAAGAATTTTTGAAGATTTATATGAATTTAATTTTTTTAATTATTGAAATATACAAATAATATCAGGAAACAATTGAAATTAAAATAGCTTTAACAATTAAATTAAATAAATTTCAAAAATCAATTTTAATAATTTTAAAGATCATCTCTAATTAAATGAAAAGAAAATAAATGTTTAAAATTAATTTAAAAAAATTTTAAAAATTTTCAAAACAATTTTATTGATTTAGAATCAATCATATTCACACAAAATTTTCAATTTTTGTAAATATCTTTTTTTTTGATTTTTAAAACAACTCAAAAATTTTAAAACTTACAAATTTTTGAATAAGTTGCCTTATATCTATTGAAATGGAATTTTTAACATTTTAAATCTAATTTAAAAACATTTTTCCAAAAATTCAATTTTCAATTTAACAAAACAGCATTATTTGCATATTTTCAAAATTTATTATTTCACATTGTTCTAATTAATTAGTTTAAAAGAAATAATTATAATTGTTATATTAGGTTTCAAATATTATTAATTACCCAATAATTGATAATTTATTGAATATTTTTTTCTAATGAACACATCAAATTTATTATTAAAGGATTTTATAATAAAACTTTTAATATTAAATTTAGGAGAATTATTGTCATTTAAGCATCAGTTTGTGGTCATTGAAATTTGCAATCAGATCAATGTGAAAATATAACAATTTAATTAAATCTGTAGTATCATTTTTAAATATAATACATTTCAATATTCAAAAAAAAAATAAAAGATTTCAGTAAAAGATGAAATTGCATAAAATTGAAGATTAAGCATGATTCTCGATTAGATTATCAGAATTTAGTAAATTTATTAAATTAAATTCAACTTATCAATTATCAGAATTTTTTAAAAAGACTTCAAACTCTACAGTCAACTTCACATTCGATAAAAACTTTACTTTTGACTAGCATAAACTAAATCTTTTTAAACTTTAGATCTTAGGGGCTGTTCACTTATTAGGTAACGCGAAAAAATGACTTCTTAGACCCCCCCCCCCCCCCTCGTAACAAAATTTGTATGAAAAAAAATTTCCTTGTTTGAATCGTAACAAAATCTTAGACCCCCCCCCTCCCCCTAAAAGCGTTACGTAATAAGTGAATGGCCCCTTAGCTTGACAACGTTAATTATTGGGGGTCATAAAATTCCCATATTTCAATAGACATCATAATTCCTCCTCAATCAATCACTAATTAAATTAAATTTGCAAAAAAATATCATAATGAAAGTAATCTTAGGGATGGGGAGCAGGAGGTGCTTCTCAAATTTATCTGAAACAAAAAAACTTTTTAAACAAACAAAACAAAACAAAGCAAAAAAAAGACTTCTTGAGACATAAAGTAAAGAAACATCAGACGTCTACCCTCTTATTCATCCATATCATCTATTTCTGTTTCCATCATCCACACTCGCTTGCCTTTGCTTCCATATTTATCTTTCTTTCTCCTAAATAATGTTTAAGAACAAAAAATTAGTAGAAAATAAAGTAGTAAGAAGAAGAAGAAAACTTATCAATAAGGCTATGTACTCATAATAGTCAGATAGTTCAATTTTTTTTGTATTGTGTGTATTAATAAGAAAACTCAAAAGATAAATGTTTATTGTCGATAATCTTTAACATGTATTTTGGATAACATTAATGACATTTGATAAGGAAATGTAACAAGTCACATTATATTATTAGAAGTACATGTATAAATGTAAGATACATTCTCATTGGTGAGGAAACAATAACATGTAAAAAAGTGCCTAGAGACAACCGGCACATCTTCTTGTTTTATTTGAGTAAAAGGAAAGATAAGCGGAAGAATAAGAACAAGACAAGAATAAGAGAAAATTTTCTGTGTGTGTGTATGTGTCGTATCTTATTACCGATTTGTCACTCTAAGGCAAAATCATCATCACATTATTCTCACTGGATTTGATAGATAGGAAAAGTTACTTTTTCTGATACATTTCTTTGAAAATTTCAGTTTTGTCTGTCTTTATGGCTGTTAGGCTTTAAAGATTCCATTCATAATATGAGAATGATTCGGGTTCCGTTTTTGAATGTAGGGAAATCCCATAAAAATAACTGGAAACTAGGGTCGGTTTCTCGGGCTATCCTCAGAATCTCTAACCTGGCTACAACCCTGCCTTAGAATATTTACACTTGAAAAATCGGGCTTCTAAAGCATGCATTTATAATTTACAGAATTTTCTTTTAAACCCCTTAAAAATGATTGAATAAACCCCAAATTCCATTAATTACGTCCTTGATACCGTTCAACCAACATCTATGTCTAGAGCATGAATCACATTTTGTCAAAAAATATGCGCTAAACACCTCAACACTCCTTAGAACTTTCCTCATACTTCAATCTCGTTTCCATCTGAATGAATAAAAAAAACTTTCATTTCTCCTCTACATAACGATTGTCCAAAAAACAAGAATCTCCAATAAGTATGAAAAGTACGCGCTTATATCAATCTTATCAGGTTGTTAGTGACCCAAGGTACAGTTTTTTTTCTCCGAAAATAATATATGGACAAAAAAAAAAGTCATGAAGAGCAAAATAAGAGAGATCTCTTATTACTCACTCTATATACAAAATATAGACACACTCTATCTTCATTATAACATGAAAATAATTTGTCTTTGTAACTTTCTGTGTACTTGCTCGTTTCTCTTCTTCTCTAACTCTGATGTGGATGGTTTTGGAATTGTTTATGAATAATGTTCTCTTTTCTATTTTAGGTTTTAGATAATAAATTGATGATAAAAAATTTCCTTCTTGTAAAATGTTTTTTTGAGGAACAAGAAGAATGGAAAAGGGTTCTTTTGTGTATCCTTCATGTGGGGTTACAGCTACAGTAAATGAAAATAATTTTCGATGGGTCTACAATTTTTTAATGGAAATGTTAAGAAATTCTTTTTGTTGAAGGAAATTAATAGGAAAATATGAAATATTTTTGTAATGGAGCAATAAATATTACTTATGGATTATTTATGGCTATGAAGCATTGAGATAATTGAAATTTATACTTAATTTTGGTAAATTAAATCATTTGAGTAACGGAACTTTTGAAAAATAGGCTCATTAAATAGATTTAGAGGAGGATATGATTTTTAAATTGTTGCTTAATTGAGTCATATTATCCTACAATTATAACCTTAACCCCCCTCATCTCTTAGTCTTGAGAGTCATATAAGAAGGTCAAAAATATCAGAAAACTCATTATTATTGTGTTGCTCAACTTCATATCTCATAATAACTTCTCGACCCCAATTTTCAATATCCACCTTAAAAATATTTCATCATTAAACTTGAAAGAATTTCATCAGTAAACTGCTCCTAAATCCTTAAATTCCCACGCCAAAAATAATTGCTAAAACTTTTTAATCATCTAAAAGTGATTCTAGCGATTACATTCAGTACAAAAAGCAATTCATTGAAACCTTTATAAATGAATCTACAACAATGTTAAAGTAAAATTGCTCTCATTTCCCATAAAAACCCCTTTTTTACTCTCGATGCTCTCCATTCCAAAAAAAAGAATAAAAAAATTTTCTAAGAAAATTAAATTCAATTTCCATACCATCCAAACCATCTTGCGGAATGATAAAAATAAAAATGATAATAAAAATTGAGAGAAGGAAATGAGTATTATTCTTACCCTAATTTTCGCACACATCCATCGTAAAATTTTATTTGTATTGTTATTGTGTTTTATTCAAGGTCTTGACGAGACATTACGATTGAGAATTAGAGCGCTATAAATAAGTTGGATGTGAATGAAATTAAATTTATTCATGATGGCGCATTTTTGTGGGGATGTAAGTTGGGACACATATGGGTTCATTTTGATGCTGTATTTTTTAGTGTTTCGAGAAATTTCTGATTTTGCTTGTAAGACTGGAGACTCCTCAGCCTTCTCCTTAGTACTTTTTCTAAGGATTTTACTCATTCTCGCAAGGGAGCAGCACTGGTTTACTTACTGACTTAGTTGCGATTCATGGTTTCCTTTTATTGTTGTCTAGAACCAGCTTCCATCTTCTTCAATTTGCCATAATCGTTTCCCTCTTAAATGCCACTAAACTGAATAAATTCGAAGTTCAAAAACACCTGTCAATATTCCAAACAATTGCAGACAATGTGATCCACAAACTCATCACCTAACCTCAAAAGTCTAGCATCTAGAGGATTATGAAAGTTTTTTTTATTCATTTTCCTTTTCTGCCTTAATTCATTCTTGTTTTTCTCATCTCCATCTTCTCGTACTTTATTTTATTTTGCCTTTATTTTCTCTCTCACAAGGTTCACGATCTCAATCAATAAATGACTCCCAAAAGACACGTGTTTAATTCGGTTGATTTAATTCAAAGTCAAATGAGATGAAGAAATAAATTTACAAAGTCTTTAATTAAATAACAAATTATCGGATAATAATTTTGCAGTTGGGAATTCTTCTTACTTTTTATTTTGGTAATGAGTTTACGTAGACGATGTTTATTTATGTAAAAAGAAATTCTTCGTGATTTGATTCTGTTTTTACGTCAACATTTTAATGTTAAGATTAACGAAAGTAATTATTTTGCAGATATTCATAATTAATTCAGATGAAAATTTCGTGTTATGAATTTTCATTACTCTAGAGATTCAGATTGAACATTTTATAATCAAATGGTGATTTTGTGAACAGTTTCAAATATGTTTTGGATAATTAGATGATGGTAAAATTAGCATTTTTGATGTAAGGTTAATTGAATTTATGATTTCGAATGTGCTCTGGTATATAGAAGAAGTGTAGTGTGATCCACTTTGGTTTAATATAGTCCACCATACCATCGCAGATCAAAATTTGAAACACACAGCCTTAGAATATTGGGAAGGTTCGTACTCCTTTCTGAGACTGAAATGTGTACAGCCAAGAAGATTAGGACTCTTGTTGAGATAATCAACAAACATAGGCGTAGTCAAAGTGGTTTTAATTTCCATCTTCATAGAACTGCCTGTAAAAGATTTATTAAATTTTATTTTTATTTCATTAATTCTTCTTAACCCCCAATTAATGTTTAATAGCAATTTTTCAAGATGTTGGTTTCTTGTTGAATCAAATAATTAGGCATTCTTTTGAAATTCTATAAAAACTAAACACTTGGCGTTGGTGTGCATTGACATTTGATATACCAATATTTTCTTCTAAGAATTTAGGTTGAATTTTGATGAATCATAATAACCTTATATCCGAAAAAAACCTACTCAAGTATAGAATTGGTTCACATTAAAGAGCAAAAGCTAGATAAATTTTAAGGTCAATTATTAAGAAGGTAAATTCTATCTGAATTTTAGATGTTCTGTCCCGTAAACATTCAATCTTAAAATTCAGAAAACAGCATAAAGCATGTTGATCGTAGAGTATCAAAAAATATTTCTATGATCTCTTATTTTCGACAATATTCATAATTTACGACCGGAAATTTAAATCACATAAAAATTCAGAACTTTAGTACTTGTTTACCCGAAAAATCGTCTTAAAATTCCCCAGAAAAATCTTTTGATAACAAAAATCTGAGACAATAAATTTATGAGACATAAAAAAATAATAAAAAAATAGGAACATAATGTGAAGAAATTTTTTCACTCAATTGCATCACTGCTGATAATTTTTGGATGTCGTACAAATTTTCAGTCTTGCTAATCACATCAATTTGCTCACCATTTTAACCTCTTTGTGACGATTAAGTCTGCAACATTTCAACTAATATTAAAATTTGTCTTTAATCTCATTTCAGTAATTCTCAAAGACGTAACATTCTCCATAATGTCGGAGCTTTTACAATTTATGTATCAAGGAGAGGTGAACGTAAAACAGGCGGAATTACAAGCATTCATGAGCATTGCAGAATCGTTACAAATTAAAGGTTTAGCAACAAACAGTGGCAGCAACAATAGTAACAACAATGGCACGAACAATAACAATAATAACAGTACCAGTAACGGTAATAATAGTACAATGAGAGGCAGTGAAGCGATGAACTCATCATACAGTCAATTTCATTCGAACAATGTCAGTGGTGGTGGTGGTACTGCCAATAATGCCGGAGTTCATCGTAATCATAATCAACATCAATTCAATTCCGCAGGAAGTCATACGGAAAATCATCGACAAACAACATCAACGCCTCTGTCGACGACATCATCGATTGATTGTGGAAATCATGCGATGAAAGGTAGCGACTGAATTTTTTATTTGAGCTAATTTCAAATGAATTAAATAAAATATTCCCTTTTCTTGATTCGGAATCGAACCTCTTTTTTCAACAGGAGGTAAACACATGAGTGGTGAGAGTTCAACACCCCAAACGGCAACACCCTTATCATCATCGTCATCATTCGTACAGAAGCGTACGATTGATCAAATTAGTGAGCAACAGCAGCAACGACAAAGTCAAATGAAAATGAAACGAACTGTACATGATGTCAGTGATAGCGACATGAATGATTCAATTGATAATATGACATCTGATGATATTTTCTTACCAGCATCGATGCAGCCACAAGTGACAATTAATGAATCTCCACGATTCGATGCGAATTGTGTAAAGCGTGAGAATAGCAATGATGTCATTCGACCACAGAGTCCTGGAAATATCTATAGAAATTCTTATCGTAAGAACTCAAGAATGTCTGGTTATGACAAATTTTCTTATTCTTTTGCCAATCTCATTACAGATAGTTCCAATTCTATGCAAAATACTTCCTTTCCATATTTTCCGGATTTCTCCCCGAGCGACTTATCAAACAGCAATAACCTTAATGACTTGAGTAAATCGCATATGGAAGTGCCACCAGGTAAGAAAAATTTTACATCTCGTACACGAAAAAATGATGGAGAAAAAAATATTTTCCTATTCGCGTTCAAAATTAGTTTGAATAAGGAAAGAAAATCTTGTCATTATCATTCATTGCACAATTCCATTATATTGTATGCTCTACATACCCTTGACTTAAGTCTTATGCTTGATTTTTCAATAATTTTGAGGTAGAAAAGTTTTTAGATGTTCTCGAAATTTCTTGAAAAAATTGAAGCATTGACTTGACGAGGGTTCAAATTCTGAATTATGGATAGATTAAGACGTAATCTTACTGTACATCTTGTTACACATAAATAAGATGTAATTCACTTATCTTTTGGTTTAGGATATTGACACATGTAAATCAAAAATTTCACATCAATCAAAGTTTGTTGGATGTAAAGCTATGGCAAAGAAAAGAATCAAAGATATTGTTCAGATCAGATTAATAGTTTAAATTGGTGTTCTGTCAAACGTCTTAGCAGTCCTCGTTTGCTGAGTGGGAAGAAAATGAGACTGAAAATTGTAAGAGCTAGGGTTCGATTCTTGCTCGGAAAACTGACTGGAATTGACTTCTTTTGTATTGAATTATTCAATATGAAGTTTCTTTCCTAAGAACACCTCTATTACAATGGAGAGGCTGAGCTTAATGAGGTCTACTTATGTCATTCGAGTTAACTATCATATTTCTGTCCCTTTATATAATCATGACCAATATAGGTTTGATGTGAACCGAACTTAAGTCATAACAAAAAAAGTGTTGGGACTTTGGGTTGGTCTCCACAAAAAGATCTGTCCTTAGTCTAGTAGAGTCCTTAAACCTAAAATCAACTTCGATCTATCCGAGCACCCAACCCTGCTAGACTAAATTTTCACAGTGTTTACTTTCCACTTTTCTCTACACCCCAACTCCATTGTTCACGTCAATTTGCGATAATATAAATTTTAATGCAATTTTCTCCTCATCAAGAAATGAAAAGGAATCGAAGAAAATCGTGAGTCTTGATTTTCATTTCTATCTTGAACATGTCGCTTCAAGAATTTTTTATTACCGAATGTGATTTTCATTTCTGCTTGAGTAAATCTCTCACAAAAAAAAAAAAAGAATTATCAATTCTTCAAACGAAAGCAATTTTTTAACGATGTTGAAGGTTAAAAAATAATTTTTTTCATGCTTATATCGAAAACAGAGAATTTATTGAGCATCACAATCTGTATGTGTATGTGCTGTCAAAAAGAGACGATGAAGGAAGAGAAAATTATCGTATGATTGGGATGAAAATGTAAATAAAATTTATGATAAGTGAATGAAAAATAAGAGAAATCTCGAGGAGGTCACAAAATGAGATCATTCGAGACTTAAAAGCGATATGAAGTTAAATGACTTTGCTTAAAGTTATCGCATTTATTTTATATTGTACTGTATTAATTATATTGAGTATGCATACATATGCTTGTTTGTGTTGATGATTATATTTCGGAAATATCGACATGATTAATCTACTTGCATCTTGATTTACAATCTTGTCTCATGTGCTTGTCATGTCTTACAAAATATTTTCTATAATTCTTCTTCTTAATTATCTTTATTAAGGTCCTTTTTAATAAATTTTAAGACCATTTTCAATTCCAAATATATTTTCTATAATATGAGCGAATATGTTAGGGACCGTTCACTTATGAACTTACGTCCAAGGGGGTGGGGGGGGGGGGAGGAGGGTCAGCAAGAAAAGAAAAATAGAAATTCCTGGAATTCCATTGTTCTTTTCTTAAAAAATGACCGTTTATGTCGGACGTCATAAGTGAACGACCCCTTAGGCATGTCAACAAGAAATATCTTAAAATCTTGTTAAATCTGATTAGAAATTGTTCATATATGATATTGTTTTGAATTTGGGAGCTTTAGATCATTTTCAATTCTTATAGCTTGATATTCTCATGAAGATTAGATTTTTATGAAGATTCTTTTATATTCTATAGTCGATCAGGAATACATTTCTCAAACAAAATATATGAAGCAATTGATAATTTTGACATAAAATACAAAAGAATATAAAAATCTGAAAAATATTAGATGATTAAAAATAAATTTTATTACAAACTCTCGTCGTCGTCATCTATCTATCTATTTATTATCACTAAGTCTTATTATTTACAGTTTAAGTCGAGAAATCTCGCGTACATTTATCAATCTGACCTCGATTTATGTCGAGCTAAACAATTTTAACTTGTTTCATTATTTTTCTTTATTTTAATTATTTCACATTTCTTTCCTATCTAATAAAGTCTCATTACTTAATGATATAGGTTGAAATAAGTTGCAATATTTTTAGATTTTTGTTATTGATTTGTTCATCGAAATGATGACAATAAAATTGATAAATTTAATAAGCTGAATGGAAAAATTTCAATGAATATAATCAATCGTAGCTTATTATTTTTAATAGATTGATAAAGGAAAATATGAAGGAGAAAAACTTATAAGTTTAAGTTAAGGAGTTGTTTACACATTGAAATGTGTTTATAGAAAACAAAAAATTGCGGAATGAATAACTTTTAGATTTCATATCAATTGTGCTGATATTGAATTACTAAGCTTATAGTGAAAAATATAAGTTCTGAAATGAGATATAGATTTCAATTTATTGAGAATCAATGACCTTAGATCTTGAAGTTTTGCTAAAATATAAATACAACCCACACTGGGGCTTGTTACATGCGAACATTTGTTGCTTGAATACAGAAAAGTCAAATTTGATTTTCGGACTTAAAGAACATGCAATTGAGTCTTGGATTCAATGGTTTAAATCAAGCTTAAAGACACTCGCAAGAAATTTCAATTCTCAACTAAACTCAAGAATCATGAGCCAAAAGCTCTTGATTGGATTGTTTTCACATAAAATACATTAAATCATTGTTCTATGTCCTTAAGAATTGTTTATTGAAATTCTGTGAAATTCTTCCCATGACAGTTGTTGAACAATGACAATAAAATCCAATTGATTTAATTCAAGACTCCTCATAATCTCTTCATTCATTCTTAATCTCTGCTATAATATTGAGTTTCACAATATCCATTTCATTATCAATCTCTTGATTTTTCCCCTTGAAAGCTGTAATACGTGTAGGATGTAAGGATATACATAATAAGCACATAAATCTAATAAATCCTCGTCGAATTTCTGACATTAATGCTGATTAATTCTTCAAATTCCTTTACTTTCTTGTTCTGTTAAATTATTTAATCGAATAAACCAGAAAATTCAGATAATTATTCACTGACATTCGTATTACTTCCATGTTATTAACGATGAGCGAATTATTGCTAGTCTATAAGCACAACGATATTGATTAATTGGAACCAATGATACTAAAATCAATGAATGATTAATAAATTAGCGAAAAGTTTATGATTGGGGATGGAATCAATGGGAGTAGTTGATTAATATTGTGATTTATTGCCTATCTTTTGTGGCTTGATGGTGGGGTGATATGGGAGGCGTGGACAAGATTTTTTGATTGAGCTTATTATGGATATTTCTTATGAAAATCAGTTGGAGTTTATAAATTCTTTAACAGTATGTAACAGAGTCTAATCTGTAGTATCGATCATATGGACGGAGCTAGAAGGTCCGTCAAAAAATAGGATTTATTTTTAATTTTCATTAATTTTACTAGCTACATTCTTGAATGTTTAACATGAAGGCAAATTTGTTGACATTGATGGAATGTCTTTGTCGTGGAATTAGCTAGGCAGGAGACTATTAATCTGCAATCTTGATTTTGTGGGATTTATGTTCGATTCCCATCAGATACTGAGCTTTACAGAAATAAAGTAAAATGCTAAACTTCCGTTGGTATTCGCGGTTATGCTTAAGTTCAAAAATTATTTAAAATTCATAAAGAGAATAAAATAAGAGAAATAAAATAAATCCCCAAAGATTTACAATTGTATTACATTTTGATGATAAACAAGGCGACAACAACATGATGAGAAACAAGTTTTATGGAGAACATTTTTCCCAGCAAGTTGTTATCTCATTTAATTGATAAATCTTACTTCCGTATGAATCAATTCTCAATCAAATCTTCAATCAACAAAAAAGCACAATTAAAATCTTTAACATGCCAACTGTTCATTAATAGTCGCACAGTTGACATAAAATTATCTCCAGTTATCAGTAGTCAATGATGTTTACTCCATACATCCTCTAGAAAAAATTTCGCGTAAATAATAATTTTTTTTAATTTTACAACCTCTTAGTTAATTCATCTATCTACATTTTTTTCTGTTTATGCCTTAAAAGCTACTTCATGTACACGATCATATATGTATACATGATATTTTTTAATCGACACATGACGATGATAAACGTCAGCAGAAAAAAAGTAACTAACGAGAGAATATTGTCTGTATAATTGACAATATTCATGAACAAGTAGTATAAAAAATCAAAGATCAAAATAATAAAACTGATAAATCTGTTCTAAAAAGGCCGTCTATCAAATAATATATGAGCAGTAGCTTTTTTTTTATATTTTTAATTCATACACATGCGAATGTATCCGTTGATTTGAATAATTTGTTGGATTTTGAAATACATTTGGGATTGAGCCTAGGAGATGTGATCTGGCACTAGAATGGAGATCTTGTTATAGAATTTTTGTAGTTCTTCTGGTTCACTTTCTCAATTTTTATTTGAACTTTTTTTGATAAGTTTTTGATTCATATCAAATAAGAGGCATAATCAGGATGATAAGAGGGGGTTGTTTTGACCATCAAAACCTCTTTATAAATGAAAATTGATGTCCAAAACAGAACACCCCTCAATTGCTTAAATCCTCCCATAAACACAAACATATCATGTTCAACGCTTCAATTGATACTTCAATAATATTTCATCTAACCATAAACATCAAAATTTAATAAATGTTGTTTTATGAGATTTGACCCACAAATCGTGTGCGTTGATAAATTAAAGACAAAAAAATCAACAAGACGAATTAAAAAATATTTTTAGTAAATCTCGCGAGCATTTGGAGATAATTAAAAAATAGAGAAGTTTTATTTGTTATTTTTATTTAATTTTTGGATTTCATCAGTAGCAATGTCAAGCGATTTGATTTGATGGCTTTTATATAATTTGAATTTGTGATAAGATTTTTTTCTACAATTTAATATTGAGTGGAGCAGTAGCACATAGAGATAATGATATGTTTGATAATAGTGCTTATTTTTGAATATTCTAAGCTCATTAATTTATATACAAAAATTCATGATGCTCGCTCAGCAAATGATAAGAATAAGCTCCTCGTTTAAATAATTTTTTTATCATCAATAATGACCCATCAACTTATGAAACCTTTTGTTTTTGAAAAAAATTGACATGAGTATATCCAATTGTACCTCTCAACAGGTACTCACAACACAAGCCTTACTAACGTAACGATGCTTTCTGCTACCTCATTACTCCATAACTCAATGATATTTAATCGAAACAATACGGTGGCGACACAACAGGGCATGAAAACTTATTGGCTATGGTATGAATTTAATTTTTTGTATTCTGAAATAAGAGGAAGGATTTTAAGTAGTCAAGAATCAATTTTTGCTTTAAAAATTGAATTTGGGGGTCATTCGTTAATGATGTCAATCAAATTTATGAATTTTATGACTCCAATCTTCTCATTCTGTGATTATCGCATAGCTCCATGGCTCTCATTAGACATCATTAATGAATGGAACTTGAAATTCACTTTTAATGACAAAAAGACTCAACTTCCTCTTCAAAACAAAACTTGAAGAACTTTCTAACAAAATTTCATCAACAATAAAATACATGACAGTCGCTCTTATCGCCTAACAACCTGTCGAGCACGCTGTATTACCCATCAGGGACAGCTGATATCAACGACCGGCCAGCACAATCATCCACCACACGTTAAAGGTGGTGCAGCATCAACCTTAACAACTCCAACCATGATGGGAGCATCAAATAATTTCAAAATGGAGGACACGAGTAGTGCATTTGGTCACCAACATCAAATGTCAAATCAAATGCAAGGCATGTCATCAACAGCAAATTTGACAATGATAAATCAGCAACAGCAACAACAGCAAAGCATGAATAATTTTGCAATTCCAACAAATAATAATAACAACAGCAGTTCAAGCAATTTTTCCATGTCAAACATTCTCAGTCCTACACTATCCGACATTGATCCAATTCTAATGCATGCAGCAAATCAATTGGATAGCAATATTCAAATAACACCAATTATAAATGCATCAATAGATGATTTAAACATGAATCCACTGGACAGTGATATCACAATACACGATACATCAAATATTCATAATATTGCAATTACTACTGCTAATAATTGATATATCTACACATGCGGATGTAGTGACAAAAAATCGCAATTGTTCATGATAATTATACGAATTTACTATGTTTATCCTGTTTTATATTTTTCGAATTTATAAATTTTTTATATCTACATATAATATCAATTTTGCAATGAATGATGATGATAATGCTGATATACTTGTTTAAAATGAAATGAAAATACTCGATTCTCATTCAAAAATATTCAAATTTTAATTTTTTGAATGGAAAATCAATTTAAAATTTAAATGTGAAATGAAAATGATTGAAATTTTGTGAGATTTTTGTAGAATTACATGATTAATTTTTGACTCAATGAAGATTTTTAACAAGAGAAACTTTCAACTGACCCCTAAGTCTAACTCCCCCACACACACACACAAACAAATGTCAAATTGCTTCTAAAAAGCCAAAGGCTGAATCTTCTTTTAATCCCAAAAAAACATAAATTTCTAATAATTTCAACTTTCACCCAGCCTAGAATCTCCCTTTTCTTTAAATAAAGGTCGTCAAATACTAAACAACATCTACAATTTATTAAAAATATGTTCCCATTTTTTTGCAACTTAATATATTCCACAAACCAAACATGCTGACAAAAATCTCCCAAAATTAAATATTATCAAAAAAAAATCATTTTACATAAAATACCTTAAAAATATAAATATATCTCAACTTAACCATATCTCTCTATTATATTTCACCATATTTCCTTATATTTAAGCAGCAGTCCTACCAGGCGAGAGGTGGTTCAATGGCAAATTACAATTTATGTTGAGTCAACGAGGTAATTTATATACTTTTGAATAAAATAATAATAAATAGTGTTAAGGCAAGGGATGGAAATTATTGTTTTTGCTGTTAATTAAGGATAAAGACTGGGACCAATAAGTTCCTTGCCTGAGGTTGATTTTTGTATTCTTACACTCATTGCATTACTAGTTTGTTCCATCAATTAAAATAAAATATTGTTATTATTATTTATATTCTTACAAACACAGATCTAGTTCTTTGAGCATTTTCCTTAGAAAACAATGAATTGTAAGGTCAACTTTTGCTGGCTAGATGGTTGGTTGGCTAGCAGACTAAAGACGAGGCTGTGCTTCTTCTACCAAATAATGGCAAATGTCATATATATATTGACTAAAACTAAATTTTAGTAGTTTTATCTAGCTTTGTCATAAACTCAAAAATCTAGAAATTCAAATGCAATCTCAAACTAATAAGCAAGACATCCAAAGTCTAGAGGAGAGATTTGGATTCCCTTGAACCTTCAAAAGTCTTCGCTTAAGAACTAAAGCAACATCTAAAATTAGTAAGAATAAAAAATAAAAGCTATGATGTCAAAAAAAATCAAACAGCTTCAGAATCAACCTGTCATTTAAACCTTAAGCAGCATCACATCAAGAACCGAATAACATTTCCATCCCTTGACACTAAAAGAAGAAACTTACAGATAACATAATCACTAAAACTCCCCATATGTGTGTGGTACATAGGTTCATATATTTACAAGAAAATGTACAATAAATATCACATTCTGAATCCTCTTCCATTTATTTTCACATGCCAACAAATTTTTCGTACTTCCACACAAGATGTTAGGGGTATAAAAAAAAATCTCCTCATTTATATCTCAGCCTATATTTCTTCCATTTCTGTGTTGAGCCTCGTGTCTTTGTAAATCTTTCTGTGTGAATGGAAACACAATGAAAAACTGAATTCATTTTCTTGTCGTGATATCCCATTCACATACATAAATTCCATACATTCTTTTGGCTTCCCTTTTTTTGCTACTTTGATAATTTTCAATGGCATTTTATGTCTGTTACTAGTTGAAATACTTGAGCTTTTGGTTGAATCTTGATACAGTTACATTAAATTTTAAGGTTCTGTGGAGTAGAAGTAAAATAATAGGGGATATAAAGTTGGTCCTCATTTGGTTGAGGTCAGGGGATAATAGTTTTTTGCAAAGCTACTATAAAGGTCACTGATTCAGATGTGAACGGATGTTCTAAGATTTTTTTTCGCGTAGATCAATATAAAATGATCAAAATTGATCAAATTGTAATTTATCAGTTCCTCACCCGTGTATTCAGCAGGATCCAATTCATATTCAGGCTCTTCGCTTTTGGTTCTTCGATTTAAAGCTTGTTCAATGATCAATATTACTTTAAACACATACTTTGATATTCCTAAAGCACCCAATTCAATACTTAAAGACTTGATTTTGATTAAAAGACACAAAAAGACAATTGAAAAGCGATGACTTAATTTTACTTCCTAATTCCACAAAAATCAATTTTCTTTTATGAAAAATTCATGAACATTTTCCTTTCAATTTTTAAGGTAAACCGCTGCTCGTACATGATGGCTTTTCATTTGGAATTCAATACATCCGTAAGGATAAAAAATATTGGCAATGTAATTTATCACGAAAATACAATTGTAAGGCACGTGTTACAACGACAGACGCAGGCGATATAATTGTTACGAATAATGAACATTGTCACACCGAAATCCGTCAACATTTGAGGAAGGACTATAAAATGAATAAACTACAAGCACAATTGAGCAATCAATTGAATAATCATCACATGAGTTTTCAGATCGGTGATAGAAAAATCAATTTGGGAACTTACATGGACCATGTTGCTAATGCTGCTGCTGCTGCTTCGTCAACAAATTGTCAACCCTCAATATCCTCAATCTCAACGACACAAACGTCAATCATGCCTCGACAAATTACAACAACGAATTCATTCCCGAAAAACTTATCACTTCGATCGCCATTAGTCACACCACCACCGACAGAAACTTCACCACCTTCACTGCCAATAAAACGACGTGATTCAAATGATTCACCCTTACAACGTTCATCACACGATTGATGACTTTTATGTCTTAATAGCATAAGTTTATTTTAATTTTTTTTGTAGCTTTTAATTATTGTAAATGAAGCATCAAGTTGGAAATTGTGTGGTGCCGCCAAAAAATCAGTGAACTGTGAAATGTTAAAACCAAAAATGGCAATAGTAATTAAAATATCATCGCCTGAAAAACGACAAGTTCAAGGCTTTTGTGGCTGCCATGACAATCTCACATGTTAATCCAAAAATACCACAAAATTATACCAATTTATTCACGAGGAAAATAAAGCTTAAGACTTTATAACTGTCAACTAATGAGATAATCTCTAATTAAATTAGTTTGATGAGAAATTTTAGAAAATGTGCTTTGTGAATTTAAATGAAAATGTCAAGATAAAGTTGAGTTCAAGGTTTTTTCTATTTTGATTTAATTGGAAAATGTCTGAAAAAATTTAAATTTTGCTGTAAAGATTTTAGAACTTCATATCCTTAAGACCAGTTTTGGTCAACTTTTTTTGTGCCACGGCACACCTTTATTGTAAGCTATGACATCCGATTCATTAGATTTCCGAAAAAAATTCGGCACACTATTGTATCACAGCACAAAGTTTGGCTATAACTGCTTTAGACACATGCTTGGAGTCAAAAACAAACGACCCCAAAATATTTAAAATTTTCAATAATTTAAGAACACCAGCACCAAACTAAAATCACTCATATCCTCACACATAAATTTTAGTAATTGATTGACATGTTTTTGCCTCAGCGTGCCATAAATTCAGACGTCACTGATTGCCATAAATAAAAAATGCTTCACAAAAAAAACTACTCAATATGAAAACCAAATTTAAACCTTTTGACTTTGTAAAATACTCGAAAAATATTGAAATTTTTGAATAAGTTTTATAAGCAATGAGAATTTTATGTAAATAAGTTTTATATAATCCAAAGTTATTTGTTATGGAACAAAATATTTTTTAATGTTGGGAATTTATAAAAAAAAAATTAATAAATTAAGTTTTATAAAAAAAATTGTTTAATTTTTTGATTTTATTCATTTTTACAATCTATGATTAAGTCTTAATAGATTCTACTATAGATCATTAAGAACACATCGTTGGCAGGAACCGCCTCACATTGTTATGATGTTAAGCCATGGATGTAAATTTCTAGGCTCGAATAGTCGGTGTACGCCCAAATACTCCTAATTTCTATACATATACCTCCTACCGCCTAGTTTCCGAGCCTGGGTAAATTTGATGAAAATGATCAAAAATGAGCAATATGTGAATTTTAAGTTCTGCAGCCTTTGGATATTTAATTAGCTTGTGTGAAAATGTACTCCTTCCTAGTAATTTCTTGCTGTGTCCCTGTTAATCATGCAATTGTTATTATGCAACTTAAAAAATTCTAGCTTTCAATGAAATGTTTGTAATTGTCTGTGGATTGAAAAGTTTTAATTACTTTATTTTATTCACTTTTTTCAGGATATTTATATTCACTTGAAGTTCATCATTTAAAAAAATTCTTTTTCATTAAATTTACTTTGCTCGATAAAACTTTTATTTCCAAACTAGAAAAACTTCCAATTGAGCTTCCAAAAAAATATGTTAATTAATTCATCAAAAACTGCAATCAAATCAAAGTTGCATTACATTTCAGCACTAGATTGAAATTCTCTCACGATGATTTATCTGCAATTGATATGCCTTCAATTATTTAATTTTTATCAGCAGGATATGCGCTCAATAATATTTATTGGCAAGGAATTTTATGAAATTTTACAAATTCTCTCCTGAGTAAACGAAACATCATTGCCAACATGAAAAAAGAGCTAGCAATGCAAATATTTTAACAATTTCCAATGGGATTTCATTGCACAAACAGTTGTTAAATTAATGAATCAATGAGCTGAAGTGGAAGTAGGGATGGGAAAAAAATGCAATGGATTTGCAGTAAATGTAGATGCAGTTTTAGGGGACTTTAGGATTGATTGTTCGGGATTGGTTTAAATTGACTGAGTTTTTAAGGTTCTTACCTAGTTTGAAGTTGCTAAAGCTAGAACGGATTAAAAATCAATTCATTACAATTTCTAACGACCACAAAGACTCAACAATCCCTAACCCCTGCAAACTCCACATCTCTATTTCCATTGAAACAAAGATTTTATGCTGAAAATGTTAAAATTTTCAATAATTTATGCAAACATAATGCACAATGGCAAAAGCATTTGAAGTAATTAATATCCGACACTTAAATATGCAATTTAATTCAATTATATCAATGGGAAAATGGATTTAAATATATGTGCATACATATATTTACACTATATCATGTACGGTAATGACTATGATGATGATAGTAATTGAAGCAAAGCCTGAACAGAGGAGGATGATGTAAATATTATGAGTAAATTTTATTATCATGTTTAATCAGTAAACAAACAAAGAGAACAAAAAAAAAAGAAATATTTTCAGCATTTGTCTCATAAAATTCTCGTTATTGCTCTCATATGAATATCCATAATATGTGCTAGTCGAGAAACCAACAAAAAAATATTTTTGGTTAAATTTTTTTGGTGAAGGAGTGGATGAGGTGCATTTTTGGAGTAGCTGATTTGAGAATATCAAGGAATTGGATTAGAATGTTGTGAAAATATTCAAAATTTGTGCTGTTCTGGTCAGAAGGAGCGATAAAATTTGAAATTTCAAACAATAATAGCAATAGACTGTTACATAACCTCTAAAACTACAATTTTCGAATCCCTCGGTTCCATTTGTAGTCAGACTTGTGAGAAAAATTCACCCTCTCATCCTAGTTGCTGCCTTATATCTATACGATCCTAGTCTATCAACCTAAATGAGCCTGTTTCACATTGTAAACCCACAAAAAAAAATAAATTCCCCTCCAAAATAATTTCAAAGTTGTATGCTAATCCCCTGCAATTCACTCAACTCAATCCACTCCAAACTAATATCAAAGCAAACATTTTAATTGCATACTTAACACTCGCCATTCTGACTAATTTATACAAAACGAAATCCACTCAGACACCCAAATTGTGATGCCAAAAAATGCACTTTCATTCATTCTATCCGAAAAAGAGCTCTCGGAATAAAATAATGAAAAAAAAAATAAGAAGAGATAAATCACATTAATGTGTTGATGATATCAATTTGATATATGATTTTAATGTGTTTTAAATTAATTCATATTATGTATATCCTTCTGTCTCACTCACTCATTTTTTACAGTCTCTGCATATGTTTTGAACGTATGTATGTATGATGATAATATGAAGCTACCTTATACTTTGCTTGAAGCAAGCCATAAAGTTATAAACATATAGTCTCATTGCTCATGCTTTTTAGCATTGAAATGAATTTGTGAAATACAATTTTTTCAGGATTTGGATACAGAAGTAAGGTAGAGAATTAGTTTATTAAGTTAAAACTCTATTAAAGGTAAGATTCTGGTCTTTTGTCCCAGTTTGATGCCTCCTTAGAGAACAAATTTAATTCTTGAATTTAAAACTAAGGAAAAGTTTATGATAAATAGGATTCGAACCTATGACATTGCGAAAATTATTAAGCACTGTCCATATTTTGAGTATCTAAGTTATGTACTAAGTAGCTATTAAGTTCAAATTAAATGAATCCACAAGTCGACAATCTGTAATCAGCTTTATGCATTAAACACCACGAAAAAACATTTTTCAAGCTTAATCCCGAAAACATCAAAACTTTAACATTTAAACGTGAATGAATTTTTTTATAATTTTTTAATTAATTGCCCTACCTAGACATGCATGCTTAAAATCATCTCATAACCGGATATAATTAATAAAATTTCTCATATTTAAATAGCATGATTACCCTCGCTCACTCAACTATCTCCATCTTCCTTACTCATTATTTAATAATATTAAATGAAATATTTATTATGCATCTGCCATGCATACACACATACAGAAATTGTGTATATTTGCTCAACTATTTGCTCATCCAGGTCTCATTCAGTTTCATTATTACACAATAAAAGAGCTTTTTAACATTTGAATTGGCTTTTATTTCTCTACATTTTATTATTATTATTTTTCATCTCTATTACTCGCTCTTTTTTGGTTGAAAATTGTTTGCTTGCCGAAGGGCAATAATAAAAATGCATGAGTGGAAAAATATCAATTAAATTGTAGAGAAGCACAGTTCAGAAAGAAAATGAAATGAAAAATGAGATCGAGTAGGATAAAGGATATAAAATTTTATTGTATGATTGTTTGGTTGATTGTCCTTCTATTGACCGTGATTTTATTATTACTATATGAATAAGAATCTCATTTCAATTCCAATTGATTTACTATTGTATTGTCCATCTTTATTTGTGCCACAATTGTGGCAGCTTATTGAAGGATTTGTTCACATATTGACATTTAGGTTGACTGAGGTTGAGTACTTCATGGATGTTGACAAGTAGCATCAGCAACAACAACTGATTTTACGTCGACATTAAGGCACCATTAAGTAGAAAAAAGCGGGTCACACACGGGGTTGTTTGTAAGTTTTTTAGATTTCTCGATTCCTCATTCGAAAAAGACTGGTTTTTTGTCCAGAGGTCGAGGTTTTAGTCTATCCAAATTTCTGATAGATCTGATTAAAACCATTTATTATAGTTCATCCTAAACTGTCCCTGGTTAAGGGGCAGGGAGTAATCAGTACAAAATACAGCCTCCTGATATAAAACTAGTATGATTCTATTACCACAAATGTTAAGCAAACCCAAATATTCAGACAAAATGAAACAAGTCCAAACCTTTCATCCTACAAAAACATTAGCTACTCAAAAGCTTCTCCTTCTCATCCACACTCCATTCGATATTAAAAATATTTTTCATTCACTATTAAAAAAGGACAGACACTGCAGTAAATTGTAAACAATTGAAGAATTTTCTCATTTTGACTTTTATGACAACTTGTTGTTGGTACTCAAAAAGTGCAATAATCCTTTACAATATTCTCGTTTTATGTGTTATGTGCTGAATCCTTTTTTTTTGTTTGTTGTGTATATTACACAGTTTTGATATTAAATTTTCTCGAAAAACTATTCGAACATCAAAGCAAATAAAATATAAAATGTTGTGGAGATTGAAGATACAGATGGGAAGCATCATAACATTCTGACTTGTCATTTCTTCTTATTTTTAATATAAAATATTTTTTAGACTTTCATTTTGTGCAATAAAACATTTAACTGGGGGATTTGAGAGATTTGCAAGTAGATATTGAATTTATTAAATTATTGCAAGGATTGAGCTGTTTTGGTGTGTGGCTGAAGAACAGTTATTATTAACAAACATCGAGCATGACTTCATCTTCAAATATTTTCAAATCAACAGTCAACCCCGTGGCTATTATGCATCAATACCAATATTCTCATCCACAAACTATCCCTTGAAAATATGACAAAATTCTACACATGGATAGTTAAACGACATTTGGAACAGAATAAAATATTCTTTTATATCTTTTCCATTTATTCATCTCAATTTGGTACGAAAAAAAATATAGTTGAATTTATGCATGTCCATTTCATCATTGCATGCTTCTTTATTCATTTTTTTATCTGTTTTCTATTTTCTGTATCTCTCTGTTGAGTTATAAAGTTAGATATAAGTATGATAAACAAAACTATGTGACTGTACAGATATGCATGTGTATATGTACACATGTAGTCAGAGACAGGGAGAGAAAACTAAAAAAGTTTATGCAAACATAAATTTATTGAACAATTTTTTATGCATAAAAAATATTTTAGTGTTGTGAGGTGAAATTGATTGTTGGGGATTGGGAACGGGAGGAGCTAGAATGTCTGAATGGCTGGAACTTTTTATGAAGACGGGTAGGTTAGGATGCGTAAGATAAGATATTGACCTCAAAAGACCTATCATTAGCTACATATTATCGTCACTAGTCACTAGTCAACCTAATTCCTGAGAGAATTCCCCAAAAAATTCCCGATATCATGCGCTATCAAATACTCGAATTGGCGATCAAATTTTGCAGTTTTCAACTCATCACTCTGTAAATACACACGTTGGAATTGTAAAAAAATATATTCATACATAAATTTTCTGATGTAAACATATTTTTTTACGTTTCACTCTTTTTTTACATCCCTTTATTCTCCAATTTCTCTTCGACGCTCTGCATGTGCTATGAAAATATTGGTTTGAACCCCCCTGAAAAAAATAAAAAATCGAATTTTTGCTATACATAAATTCCTCATTTTTTTCCAATTCTACATGCTGTTTTCCTTTCGGCACAAAGCTTTGGTCAGCATATGTTGACATAAAATAGTTTTTTTTCCTGAATTTTTTTCTGTTTTCTGTTCGACGTTGCCTCAAAAAAAAATCATGAAAATTGAAAAGTAAAAAAGTAAGAAAAAAAATTGAATAATAAAAAATTTTCATATGAAGACAGAGGAAAGAGAAATGAAATTGTGTAAGGTTGTGAACTGAACTTTAAGTGAATTTGAATTTCATATTTGTTTCCGAAAAAAAGGGCATTCAAACAGAATGTTTTATGGTAAATTTTAACAATTTATCTTCTCTGAATCATGAAATATTTCATAGCATATTGTACTGATGTAGGATTTCTTTTTTCTCATGTTTAAGGATATTGCTACACAATACACATGTGGGATTGCTCTCAATTAATTTATCTGACTAGGAATTGGATGTTTTCTTTAAGAATCTGCCCTCCCTTCTCCTCTTACTGACCGTCACAAATTTTGTAAAAACAAATCTGAAGAATTTATCATAGAGCGTAGCAAATCCATTGATGATTCATGCATTGCCCCCCCCCCCCCCTTCCCCTCCCCCTTTTCTCTCTAAAAGAAAATTTATTCACCTCAATTTTAATTTTGACATCAAAGCGAAAACTTTTTTATATTTTAATAAATAAACACCTGGAAATAAAAAATACATTTCCGCTCACCATGCTTAAAATGAACCTTGTTTTTGCTTTAACTTTTCGATTTATCCAAAACAGCGACAGTCGAAAGAAGGAGCGAAAGAAAATTGTAAATTGATTGAATAAACGGAATTGTATTAGGTAAATGAATTTTTCACTCTTTACACCCCCCCCCCCCCCCCCTCTCCAACTTCTAACATTATTTTCAGTATCCACTGTTATTTACGGAGTGCAAATTCAAAGCAATGTACATGACACATTTTAAATTCCTTTTATCCATTTGCCGGTTTTATGTTGTCAACAACTGATGGTTATTGCGCGCTGACATTGCGGAAACTAGAATATTTGTAGCGATGTAAAATTAAATTCAATTAATGAAACTTGAAAAGGAATGTAAGTGTGAAAAGCGAACGAGAAAAAAGGAGGAACTGATTGACTGTGGAGAAAATTGGATTTAATTTGAATTTATTGAAAATTCGATTTTTATGTCAGAATCAAAGTCGCTGGATTTATTGGAATTGAGTTCAAGAGAAAATTAAGGAATTGAATTATTTCATCAACGAAATGAAATTTTGAATATAATATGAACAAGTGTAGGATACAATTGGTTCCCAAAGGGGCCGTTCATAAATGATGTACATCATGTAGAGGTGAGGTTGAGGTATTTGGAGCTATGTGATATTTGACACAAAATAAATATTTTCTTTATACAAACTTTGTGACAAGGTGGGGTCCTAAAAGCCTCGTTTCGTGATGGATGTCATTTTTTAACAGCCCCAAAATTTTAAGGTTTCATAGCGTGAACACCATGAAATTCATCTGGCTCAGATAACACCCTCTTATACCAATTATGAGGTTAGAGAAGAGGGTGGAGGATAGGGAGGGGGGGGGGGTTATGTTCTGTGACACCTCAATAAAAATCCATAATTATATAATTCGATCATTCTGTGACAACGAAAAATGAGTATAACTAGTGTATCGGGTAGAAACCCAATGCGGATTATATTCACACCGTACTATCATAAGTCTTATGGATAGACCAAGATTTGCCCATCATAAGTATGAAGGTATGAAGCTTGATAAGTCAACTAAGCTTCGCTCAGCATATGTTTGAAGTTATAAAGCTATCGCGTAAGCTGAGCTACGCTCAGCATAAGTTTGAAGATATGAAGCTAGAGAGGCAGTGGAGCTTCGCTCAGCATAAGTTGAAGTTATAAAGCTATCGCGTAAGCTGAGCTACGCTCAGCATAAGTTTGAAGATATAAAGCTATCGAGTCAGCTGAGCTACGCTCAGCATAAGTTTGAAGGTATAAAGCTTGACGAATATGCCAAATATTCTTTAAAAGTTTTTTAAAAAAAATTTTCATCCAAAGTTGAATTTTATAAAAATCACAGTCAACTTTTGTTTTAAAAAATTCGTAAGAAAGGAAAGTTTTTTGCCATTTCTGAAGCAACGGCTGTTCCTACCTTGCCCAAAAACAATACAGCTCTTCTATAGAGCAGCACGGATCAAATTTTAAAAAACTAGAAGTCTCTACCATGTCTCGTTATTGAGATTTCTTGCTGATTAACTTGCTTGCTTGCTTGCTTGCTTGCTTGTTTGCTTACAGAAAGCGTATTTTGCGATTTTCTCAGCAATGCCACAACCAATTTGAAATCTGTTTTTTGAAAATGATGTAAAATTTCAGGCACAAACTTTTCTTCTTGCCCTTTTATAACCAATTTTGCTTTGTTTTCTCACAAAATGCGAAAAACTGATTTTTCAATCTGAACAAAACCAATAGATTCACACGTGAAAACGGTGTGAATATAAAAATCCCATTTTGAGAAATTCTCACCTTACATGTGACAAAAATCCTCCACAACCTGAAAAATCAAAATTAACAAGATCATGAATACAATTCGAATTTTTTATTTGTGCATTTTGTGCATTTTTTGTGCAAGAATTTTACAAAATAAAACTTATTGGTTGATGTCGTTGTTAATTGATAACGATTGATAGTAATTGTAAAATAAAGTAAACTTTCTGAACCTCTAAACATTTGTTATGTATTTTATAATTAAAAAGAAGTGTAGCTGTAAGTTTTAAGGAACAAGATTCAGAAAGCTTGCATTGTTCATACCAATCATCAATCGTTAACATACAAAAAATCTCTAAGTTTGCGTGCAAATGTGTGCTCAGTAGTGCTTAAATTAATGTATAACTAAAGATGTGCATGAAAGTGCTTAGGTGCTGAATTTGAGTGCCAGTTGCTTTATTGGGCAATTTAATTCTTGATTATTGAATAGTTTTTTGGGTAGAAATCTTCGAAAAAATTAATCTTAAAAGTATTTAAGATTAAAGTTTCAAGGACTAATTTTGTAGACTTAACTCAAATGGGTTCAAGAGAGTCTATAAAGGTCTAAAGGCAAAAAATAAAAGAATGCAGCCAAGGGTTTGAATAAGCTCCTGCTGAAGACAATTCTATTTTAACACCAAATCACCAAAACTACTAGTTTTGCCTCAATAAAATTATACATTTTTCCATGTGCCCTCCCCCAAAAAAAAACAAGAATAAAAACTAAAATTGCTCGTATTTGTGCATAAAACTTTGTGTGCAAAATTAAACAGAGAAATAAAAACTTGTGTGCTTTTATGTATGTGTGTGCAGTCAAAAATAAACGAGTAAAGTAGAAAACTTTCTCTTCATAATCAACATTGAGGTAATTAAATAGCTTAGTTCTTCTTCCTTCCTCGACTCAATCAATTTTAATTTCATGTCTTCATTGTATGCTTAAAAAGCAGCTCTCAGCTTATTAAGTTGTTCCTCAATGCCACATTTAGAGCATGAACATGATGCAGGTACATTAAAGTTCTTTATAAACTTGTAGTTGTCATCACAAACAAGTTCTACAGGCAATTCACGAACTCCACTTACGGAACAACATTCGCAAGTTTTTAGTTGATGTAGAGTCACTGCGGAATGAAATGAAAAAAAAAGAGGGAAAGATATTTTTGGTTAGCTTAATTTCATGAGTTTTATGTCATTAAATGATTCTTTGGCTAATGATTCATTTATAATCTGAATGAGAATGGAAACTCTCTAATAGTCTTAGTGAATATTGAGGTATCTTAGTGGAATCCGAATCTTGGCTATACTCTATGTCATATCTAATCGTAGCTAGGAATCATACAGCACCAAAGTAAAGTAAGCTACTAGCATCAATCTACGAATATGATCCCCATCGGTGCAGCAATGACATAGCACACCCAAGATTATCTAATAGTTCAAAGTTTGATTTCCATCCACATTACAAAATCTACATCTCCTACTAAAACTTCCCACAAAAGGTAAATGCGTCAAGACAATCCATTTTCCCTAACAAAACTTTCCAACTTCTCATACTTTTTTAATTGAAAAACTTTTTTTCGTCGTCATTCATTTGCGTGTTTACAACTTACTTGGATCAAATTTAGTGCCACTCTTGCATGATCCGACACATTCCGTAATTCCTCTCACACCATTCACATTTTTGCAATTTCCGTGCGGCGGCATCTGAATTTGTATCAAACCAATTGTTGTACTCTCGGCCAATGACTCAGGCATGCAGTTCTTCTGTGACAATGATTCCATTTTACACTTCTCACAGCATCCATCTTTGTAACGCATCAAAATTGGACAGGATGAGATGTCAGGGCATGTTGGCATCATTGATGAAATCATTGTTTCACCATCTTTGATGTTGCATTCGAATGTCGTACAATTGTCATCACTTGACCACGTCTGTCCAATATCATATAGTTTGTTGTCCACAATGCATTTGGTTTTAACGCACTCACCACAACACTTGCCTGGTATTGGTTTCAGTTCCGAACCCTGCAGAGAATTTTGATTGTAAATAAATTGATGCATAAAAATGTGATCAACAGACTAGAATCGACAATTTCCCTTTTGTATTGACTTACCGCTTGACATATTGTATTACAAATTTCACGCTGCGTTTTAATTATAGGATTTCCATTTGTGTCAAAGGCACATTGTGCCTTCACACAAGCATCATCTGTTGGCCATATCTCGTCCATCTTTTTCAATATCTTATTGCCATTAATTGTTGCAACACAACGATCTGACGGTGGTCCTGTGTGGTGAGAACAATGTGATAGATTTTGTTAGAGTTTTTGAAGTTGATGTCAATTGTGTTGGGGTAGCTTCTATTTTATGGATTTGTTAAGGATAAGGTAGCTTTTGGAGTTTTTGAAGGATATTATGGATGAGGAAGATATCAGCATGGGCGTAGTGAGGAGAAGATTTTGAGGGTTAATGCCAACCATCCTCCATCTTGTCAATAGAATAAAATGTAAAATCCAGCTTCCATCACCGCCTTAAGCCATGAAAAATTACTAATCTATTCTTTCAAACCAAACCCAAATCATATGCTCAATATTTCACATCCAGCAACAAAAATTCTGTCAAATTCTTTCCATTTCCTCCTTTTTCTTAATTAACAAAAAAATCCTTTTGCTTCGGTAAACAAGTTTCTTCTAAAGACTATCAACAAATTCCCTAAAGCGTCCACCCCAAAATTTTCATACAGTTCCTGTTAAAGCGCACTATATTGAACATAATAAATTCTATCGAACAAAGTTATTCACCAAATAAAAATTATCTTTTTTTTTTCTCTTTTCTAATGAAGTTCTCAAAAAAAGGGACAACTATTGTTGCTTCCTATAAGTACTGATGTCATGCTGAGAAAGGCAGGCGAGAATAATTTATCAAGTAGTCAATGTGTGTATTTATAGTTTTTCAAAAAGAATGGAAAGGTTTTGATAAAAATGAAAGGATGGGAGGCAGTAAATTGGAGTTAGGGATGCATGCTGAATTTTTGAATGAACGCTTAGAATTGAAGCTTCAAATGGATTAAATGAGTAGATTACAAGGTAATGTATTTGATAGATTTTCAGATCCGAATAGTTAAACAAGGAGGAGAATAGCTATGTAGATGACTTCATTTAAAAATAACATTTTAAGGGCTGCACACCATAAGGGTATGTTGAAAGGGCAAATGCTAGTCCTGTTAGACTTAAACGAATCAAACTTTATGCCATTCCTTATAAGTAATGCACAAACCAATGAAGAGCTTTAAATATTATCACTCCGTATCATGTGCTCCTCGGGTCTACACTTTATCTCAAACAGAATAAAAAGTCGTCAATCATAATACAAATGTGTCTCTGGAATTCTTTCCCCAAATAATCCATTAGAATTCCATTCAGTATCCCATCCTTCACATCCATAAAACACATTCATACACAGAGAGAACAAAAAGAAGTAAGGAAGAACTTACGACACTCGTAGATATCGCAACAAATTTTATCATCAGCACTCTTTGTCTTTTCCACAACATAAAATGCTTCCGTACACTGTATAGGTCTGGGCGGGCATAGTGATTTATCGCAAATAAGTTTCGATACGGGACAGCATCCTGTTGTGTCGATTATTGCCTTAAATCCAGGCTCAAGTTTTGTCGTATTATAGTTTTGTGTTGGTTTACATTGTGATTTTGGTATGCAGTCTAAACAGCAATAAGGAACAAGTGAAAAAGTTTATAGTTTATATGGAAATGAAGGCAGGAAATTAAAGCATTTGAGAACTAACCGCAAATATATTTGGAACATCCATTTGTGTCGTTTATTATTTTATTTGTCTGATCGACACCGCATTTTGGCAATACTAATTGAGAACAAGTAGTCGGTACTAATGTTTTGACTTCCGGTACGCAGGCATATTTCTTGCAACATTCTCCAGACGACTGTGATGATTCAAGAGCCGTAAATCCTATTCCACAAATCGTCTGCTGTGCTGGACATTGAGTCTTTTGACATTGAATTGTTGAATCATTCTGGCAAGTGCATTTTGTGCACACATCTAAATGCCATATGTCGCCTGGTAAATGACCCTAAAAAAAGTTTTGCAGCACAGAAACGACAAGAAATTGACATTTAACAAATTTAATGTAATTAATTTCACAAGAAAGAAGGATAATCTTACTTTATCATCGCATGCTCGACATTCAATCTCACGTAGACATTTTCCATTGTGTAAGACCAATCCTTTTGGACAGAAGCAACCCTCACTCATGCCAGCATTACATATCGATCTCATCTTTTCAATTGTCTTCGGGTCGTTTAAGGCTGGCGAAGATTTTATCAAATTTTCTCTAGCTTGTACGGTCTGACATGTTTCAGGACATCCACATGGCGTATATACATAAGGAGCAACACATTCCATTGTACAGAGTCCATTACGTCTCCAATCAACACAAACACCATTACGTGCACATTCGCGAGCATAAGCAGCGAGTGATTCACACGAACCTTTTTGTGTTGGACCTGTTCGACACAAATCTTGTTGACATGCTGTTACATACATAATTGGATCAACAACCATATGACATTTGCCGAAAATGTCTTCATCGAGAATTTTAAAGCATGGATCTGTTTCTGGTGGTAGTGGGAGGCATTCACTTGCTTCATCGACGTAACATTTGTCTTTGTCTTCAGTGAGTTTAAGTTTTGGTTCATCAGCCAGCCAGCTAAGAGCAAAGTTTTGAATTGGTGTGTTAGTAAGTGGCAAATTTGGCACGGCTGGATTGGTAGTCAAGTCATCTTCAGGATTTCCGTTACAATTGCCGCAAATTCCTTCCATTTTATTTCCATATTTCACACTTGGCACTTTAATCTGTATGGAAAGAGAAAGGAAGTAAAAATACAGAAAGGTAGCACCAGCAAAATGTAATTTCAATCCACAGCTTCCTTTTCAAAAACTGCATCAACTTCATGGCCGAATAAGTGCTAATGGATGTAAATGAAATGCAATTATGTACTTACACTAAACGACATTGCTTCAAACATCGTAACAAGTTCCACTTGAGACTCTGGCAATAACATGTTGAGTGCCTTTCCTTGTTCCGTAATTTTTATCCAATCTTGTGTGTATGACAAGCCCGATAATTTTATTCCATCGACAATGACTTCAAGATTCTTCATTGAGTTCTTTTGTATGTGGATGATATGGCTTCCATATGTGATATGAAGTGCCTGTGTGCATGTTACTTTCTTCTTTGCTATTGTATTTGCTTTAGTGTCACATGGTCCTATAGTTGCATAAACCTCAAATGTATGGACATTTTGCAATGTAACGTCACGTGACAACAAGTAAGTACAGTTGCCGTCAAATGTAAAGTTTTTACGATCATATGTCAGATATTGTGACTTTCCAAATCCATCACAGACACAATCACGGCATTCACTAATTGGTATGCATGTTGAGCCTTTTTTAACTGTTCCCGATGGACAGAAGCAGCCAGAGAAGCATGTACCAGGAATGTTTGCACAATCTGCTGATTGTAAATTATTGCATGTCACTTCACACTTTCGACGATAACAATCTTGATGGACTAATGGTGCAGCACAAACAGCTTCACATGAATGCACTGATCGCCATGTCTCTAAATGTACATTTTCATCAGCTGCCATACACTCAACAACATAATTCTTTAACATTGAACATTTACACTCCTTTTTGAAGCTCTCAAAATCACTCGCTGAAATTGATGCCGGTGCCGTTCCATTTGTTAGTGCTTGCAAGCAATCACAAGCTGTCTCCAAACACGTCGATATGAAATGTGTTGGATTAATTGACTTTGTGCATGGCAAGAAGATATCATCTTTAACTAAATTACACATCGTCCATGCAGCTTCTTGCAGCATTTTTGGACATACTTGTGGCTCACAGTCTTCTTTGTTTGTCTGGCTAACTGACCAACTGTCACCAAATTCAACTGTTGATGTTGCTAACTTTCCATTTGGCATTCGTTTATCATCAGTTTTTTCATTGCTATAAAAACCACAGAGACCATCAACCTGATTGACATATTGCGATGATATTCCCAATTTAACATCACCATATTGATCCATCGTTATCCAAAAGCCGTGTGTGTGCGATACGTAAAGCAAATTGTCACCATTTTTGGACACAACGAATGACATTTTACGATTTGAATTTTGCAATTGTTGAACCGTATAGCTGAATGACGGCAGGGAAATGAAAGAAGTAGTTATTAATATTTTAAAGTGGGATAGCATTAGGAGTGGTTCATAAATGACGTCTTAACATGAGAGGAACTTTAAGTTGGGTACATAAATATTTCAGAATCAATAATGATTTGTGTACATACAACAATAATTTTCTAATGATTGACGTCATTACTGAACAAACCCCATGTTCAACAATCTTGCAAAAATCCCCACTTAGACAGGATCAGATGAACATTTTACAGCAAACTGCATCGCATCTACTCAAGAAAAAATACTCACTAATAGCCATCAAGATTAACAGTTAAAGATGGATAGAGAATTAATGTATATTTTGCAACTTTATCTCTAATTTCAATCTCTTTGCTGCAAACATTATTTCCACTCGAACAATTTTTTCTCATTATCACGTTCCACTTCTCATCTGACACGTCTCGAGCAAGAAGATGACTACAAATGTCATATTTAAATTCAGTTGAATCAAATGTATTGAATGTGCGGCCGGTTACGCTGTTTAATGATGAAGAAAAAGAAGAGAAATAGAGGCAATATTAATAATAATGGTGATGTTTGTGTCGTTAAACGATGAATGAAAGAACGGGAGTGTGATGATAATGGATGGAAAATGATTCGCTTTTCCATTCAATCTTAAGATGTACTTTAAACTCTTAATGGGTGTCATAATCACGTGACTTACTTGCATACGGCATCATTCTCGGCAATCGGTTCGCATGTGAATCTAGAATAGAAATTTAATTAAAATTTTTAAATCAGGGGGGAAACACCATAATAGGAAAAATTATTTGATGCAAAAAATTAGAAAATTTCATCAACTTCAAAAATCTGATGGATTTTTTTTTCACCAGGTTGTTACCCCCTTATTTCAAATAAGAGAATCTGAACCTAAGATAGTCTTCAACCACAGTTTATCAATTGAAGTTCAGTCAATAAAAAATTTTTCACACCCACACCACAAATGTTCACCCCTAAAGTGTCTAATCAGATCCAATTAATTGCAAACATATTGCTAATACCCTCATAATTATAATCGTTATCTTTAATAATTACTTTGCACACTCATTAGCCGACTTTTGTATTTGAAGTCTTAGCATGTAACCTCGAGGGCATTTCGGTTCAGGACAACGAATAATTTTCGTTTGATTCTCTTGTGCATAATCAGGTATCTCGGCAGAATCGACAATTGGAATGCACATAAATTCGAAGCACTCCTCTGAGTTTATGTCTTGCTGGTCTTTTGATGTCGAGATTGGAAGAATTGCTTCATAGCTTGCAGTGTATTTGGCCTTAATATAATAATATTGATGCTGTGGCTTGTCATCCTCTTCTTCGTCATCGCTGAAACGACTGCTCATTTTAGATTTGCGAGATTTCTTTGGTTTAATTGCAAATCCAGGGGGACATGAGGGGTCGGGACACTTCTTTGTAATTGCTGTTGGAATTAAACTTTTAAATTATCCTCAAAATAATAATTAAAATTTACTCACTTATAGTCTCAGTTCTATTGACAGTAATCGAAGGCTGCTCAGTAATTAGGCAATTAAGCTCATCATCTGGACAGTCAATTTGTCCATCGCACCATTTTGATTCTGGTATGCATTCACCACTCGATTGACAAATGACAGTATCTGGTGGACATCGTTCGCATTTACAGTCACAAGTTCCTGGTGCTACTCTTTTTTGTCCTTTTGGACATAGAGAGCAAGTCTTTGGTGTACATTGTGGAATTCCACCCATTTGGCACATACATTCAGCACAATCCTCAGTTCTATATGCTTCACCGACTGGATAGCTCATATGACCTTCAAAGCATGGACAATCACTTTGCGGTACACATTCAATTCCATTCCAATATTGTGGTGGATAACATAAGCACGTGTCGCGGTTATTAGCCGACAATGGAACAAGAGCACCTTTACAAATACCACAAATCGATTCTGGTGTGATAATCTCTACATCCTCGGGATATTTTGATGTTGTTGTTGTTAAGGTTGGGTCAGGTGTTGCTAAGAGGATTGAAATTGATAATAAATTACAGATTATTGAATTTTGATCGTGACTTACGATAAGGCAAATAGCATCCAATTGGCTCTAATTTCAATTCAATCGCCTGATGCCATTTTAATGGTTGAATCTTTAAGTATCTCGCATTAATTGGACTACGGAAGTGATTTTTCTTAACATTATCAGAGTCGACATTTGCAAGGAATTGCGCTGGCCTGCCGTTCTTATCAAATAATTTATTCCAAATTATGTTGTCTTTTGAGTATTGAATTGTGAAGCTCTTGACCCAGCCATATTCACCTCCTTTTGTTATAACACCGGTAAGATTGCGGTTCTCCATAAAGTCGAACTGGAATTAAAGAAAATCGATATATTCCTTAAAGAACTTTAAAGCTCATAAATTATAAAATATACACATCCACAAAACACATAATAAAGTTAACAACTTTATCGCACTGACACCTCATGAAGTCTATATTATTAGATTATTTAAGCCACACCATAATACACAATGAATTTATGTAAACTGCAACATATCTGAATCCACACATAAACACTCATTTACATAATTTTGTTTACAGAAGCTCTACGAGGAAAAAGCTCCCTCCAACAACCTCTCATGTCCTAATTAAATTAATTAAAAATTGTTTCCCTTCTTCCCATTTTTAGCTCACAACTTACCATGACATATTCATTAACATTATCAGCTAGCGGCATCCAGCCTCGTGCGGATGACAGTTTTATAATTTCAAGTGGATTACGACGCACTTTTGTTTTTACAGATCCTGCATCTTTTATGGAACTATTGTAGAAAATAAAAGAATGAGAAAGTTTTTTAATGGATGAAAATGTTTTTGTGTTCAGGTATATTCAGCCACAAGGCGAATCTCATTAGTAGATTAATTTAATAAGTATAAATTGTAGTAAATTAAAAGAAATGTCATTAAAATTCCTTGGTAGAAAATCTGTTTATGTCTTTGGGGATCTTTGTGGTGTTATTATGTCTGAATTGTAAGTAATTATCGTGTCTGGTGATTCTTGTAAGTTCGAGAACCCTTTCACATCAACAGCTTTCTCTGTATTATAAGAGATGTTGGTTTTTGATGGGAATTGAACTCATGATCTTACAAAATTTTACTGTTGTGTCAACACTCGGCTACAGGTGGTTCACTTTCATGTTGATGGATTTGTCTATTAAAGATTTGATACAGTAGCGTTACCAGGAAGATGTCAAGTCACCCGAACCTTTGAAGTTCTGTCTACGCAGCTGCCTTGAAACCCATCAGCAATAGCTTTCAAATTAAATTATGCATTCTTGGATCAATTCAATTCATCGAGCATCAAACTTATTAAACGTTTTCCGTAACGAATTCTCAGTCATAAAGTTTAATTCATAAAGGAGTCGTTCATAAATAATGTCTGAATTTTTTTAAGAAGGGTGTCAAGTGACATTTCCATAAAAACAAAAATTGTGTATGAACATTATTTGATAAAGCGCAAAATTAGGTCGAGCTAGCCTTTCCGTCCCGTCATTTACGAACCACCCAAAACTTTTACATGCAAATTCCATCATTCCATTGAATGCATCACAGTCGATAAAATATTCATTAAATGTTTACAATGTTAAGTCATATAAGCGTAAATTTATTGTTCTCAAATTGTTAATTTTGTTTTGATATCGAAAATTGATTCACACAAAATTTACGCTTTATAAAGTTATTCCAATTAAAACAGCAATTAAGGCATGCAACAATTAACTTAAAACTCAACTCAAAATTATTCAACAGTTAATCTCACTCACCTGAAAGTAATTTGATTAGGACTTAATTTGCTGTTTTCAACACCCAATGGATCATCACAGAGTGGCTGTATAGTTGTGATTGTAAAGACTGAAGCTGGCGTTGTGATTGGCGCAAAAACTTCTTCAATTATCTTCGTTGGCTGTGTGACAGTTTCTATAGATTTTGTAGTCGTGGTTGGTGCAGGTGGCAATGTTAATGGTTGTCTTGGATCTCTCTGACATCCTAAGATTTCAACACGAATAGCAATTCCTTCATGCCATGTCAATGGATAGAAGCGAATTAGTTTAGCTTCAACTGGAGTTCTAAAAATGTGTTGAACTGGCGTATTCTGATCGATAGAACCACTGAAAATTAGTGGATTTCCACTTGCATCTGGAATAATGTGATAGACAATTCCATCCAAACTATAAAGAACCTTAAAGCTTGTCACATATTGAGTAAGAAGTGGACTTCCTCTAACCATGACTCCATAAATTGGCATTGCTGATGGAAAATCGATTTGCAAATATTGATTCAAGTCATTTGTGGCTGGTGACCAACTTCCAACAGATCCATCACTTGGACGTGATTCTAATCTCGCTGATTCCGGTTTGAAGGCTCTTCCAAGGACACTGCTTGATGTAAATGCAGTATCAGGAAGCAAATGAAGCAATGGAACCAATTTACTCTTTTCACAAACAATTGGTGGAGTTACAGTTGATGGAAGTAGAATCAAAGGCGTTAATGTAGATTCAGTGACTACAGGCGGTATAGTTGTAGTTGTTGGTTTACGAGTAGGCTTGATTTTATCTGGTCTTCTTGTTGTTATAACTCCTGGTCTAACGATTCTCTTACCAGTCTGTCCAAATTCTCCAGGTTCACCAGGTGAAGTTCTACATATTGGTTTAATAGCTTGAACATTGGCAATATCATCACAATCGAGTGTCTTTGGATTAAACATTTTGTTAATTCCACAAGTTCTTTCTTCATATACGAATGTATCATTAGGAGTCAATACACATTGTAAGAACTTATGACATCCATCAGGATGTTCATCAAATGGCTTATTTTCTAAATCACATGGACCAAGATAAATTGGAACTTCAACCATTTCAGGTGATAATGTAGATGTGGTTGAAACTGTCGAGTCAACAGCTCCTGGACGAGTAATTGGTGCTATTGTGGGTTGGAATACTTCCCAAACTTCTGTCTCACCCGGATTAATACCACAAATTGGTTTAATTCTCTTAACACTGTCTGGCCAGTCACAAACCATTGCAACTGGATTATACATCATGTCTGGATAGCAAGTCTTTACAGCATAGACATAACTGCCGTTCGGAGCAGGCATGCAATGCAAGAATTTATAACAACTGTTTGGATGTTCAATATGTGGAGGATTTGGGTCACAGAGAGTAATGTAGTAAGGTATCTCTATAATAGATGCAGGAGTAGGTGTTGTTTTTTGCCCAAGTGGAGGTAAAGTTGGGAATGGGGGAGTTATTTCTCGTCCAAATGGTGGTAATGGTGGACCTCCGATTGGCGGTAATGGCTTTACAGTCGTTGTAGTTTCTGAAACTAGTTTTATAAGAGTAACTTTCTGACCTTCCCAATAATCTGTGTCCAATTCTTCAGGCTGTGTCACTAATTTTCTTGAAGGAGTAGTTGTTGTTGGTTTCCTTTCTAGGACTTCCCAAATTTCAATTTCTCCAGGGTTGATTCCACAACTAGGCTTCAATCTTTTTACACTATCTGGCCAATCACAAACCATAGCAATTGGATTGTACATCATGTCTGGGTAGCAAGTCTTCACAGCATAAATATAGCTTCCATTTGGAGCAGGCATGCAATGTAGAAACTTGTAGCAACTGTTTGGATGCTCAATATGTGGTGGGAATGGTTCACAGATAGTAATGTAGTAAGGAACATCAACAGGTGCGACAGTAGTTTTAATTGGTGGTAATGGAGGTACTTTACGATCAAATGGTGGCAATGGTGGACCAAACATTCCAGAGGGTTGGGTAGTTGATTCCGCAATCGGTGTAATTTGTCCAGGAGGGGCATAAATTGGTGGAACAAAAATAATCGGAGTTGGTTTTTGAGCAGGTGGTGTAACTTGACCAGGGATGTATGCAGACGGTGTTGTATCAATTATTTTCATTGGTGTGCCTGTTATTTGTGAATGAGGAGGTAATGTTGATGGTCTGGTCTGAGTTATTTCAATTTCATGTACTGGAATATCTCGTGGAGTTGTTCGTTTCTTAGTTGTTACTTCTGCTTCCCAATAATCAGTGTCTGTGTGTTCTGGAAGTGTGAACTTTCTCTTTGTGGAAGGTGTTGTGGTTTTAATATCCAACTCCCAAAGATCAGTTTCTCCAGGATTTATACCACAACTTGGCTTCAATCTCTTCACATTATCAGGCCAGTCACAAACCATAGCAACAGGATTGTACATCATATTAGGATAACATGTCTTAACTGCATACATGTAGCTTCCATTTGGCGCTGGCATGCAATGCAAGAATTTATAACAACTGTTTGGATGTTCAATATGTGGAGGAGATGGTTCACAAATAGTTATGTATGGTGCAGTTCTTCCTGGTTCTGTTGGTCTAATGGTGACAGGGCGAATTGTTGATGCTGCAAATGATATTGTTCCATCAACGGCTGGTCTTGATGTCGATACAAATCCAGATGATCGAGTTGTTGTTGTAGATCTTCGTGTGACTTTCTCAACAATTTCTTCCCAATAATCAGTCTCGCCAATGTCAGTTGCACATTTTGGATTGGCAAGCTTAACATTATCAGCTGTATCACATTTTAAAGTATTTGGATTGAACATTATATTTGGGTAGTTATTGCACTTCTTTTCTGTATATTTAAAGTTATGAGGCGAGCTTTCAGCACACAACAGGTATTTTATGCAACTATTTGGATGTACAGCAAGTGGATTTGCAGGATTACATTCACGAATATATGCTGGTGGTTCACCTTCAAAGTAATCAGTTTCATCAGGTCCAGTAACTTTCCTTCTTGGTTGTTGTGTTGTTGTTGTTGGTTTTCTTCCTAACACTTCCCAAATTTCTATTTCTCCTGGATCAACTCCACAATTTGGTTTCAGTCTCTTTACACTGTCTGGCCAATCACAAACCATAGCAATTGGATTGTACATCATATCTGGATAGCAAGTCTTTACAGCATAAACATAACTTCCATTTGGCGCAGGCATGCAGTGTAGGAATTTATAGCAACTGTTTGGATGTTCAATATGTGGTGGGAATGGTTCACAGATAGTAATATAGTAAGGAACTTGTTCCTCTTCTTCAATTATTACTACAGATTTCTTAGTTGTTGATAATACTTGTGGCCAAGCAGTTGATGGTTTGCCTGTAATGATGATTTCAGCATCGGGATGATAAGTTGGTACGGATATAATTTTAATTGGTTTTGGTGAAGTGCCACACGCAGCTTCTGTGCAGATAAATTCATTATTAATGCACTGACATGTCTTACAGTCGCTAATTTTAACAACTTGACCAGGTTTGAGTTGTTCATTATTTGGTCCAATACATGTGCAATCCATCAACTTTACACAAGTCTTCCAGTCTCTCCATAAATTTGGATATTCACATTTCGTGATTGCATCCTTAGGCACACAACCTGGTAAACAGTCATTTGAGGCTTCTGTGCAATTTCCGTTGATCATTAAAATCCGTCCATAATAATTGCATGCTCGTCTACATGGAACAGCACAATCATTCCATACATAACCCATTGGACAGTCACCTTGAAGTTCTTCTTTTGGCTTACCACAATTTGGATTGATTGCAATCACACTTGCTGGCCAATCACATACCATTGCTGTTGGATTGAACATCATCGAACTGCCACATGTTTGTTCAACATATTCAAAAAGTCCATCGTGACTCATCACACATTGTAAATATTTACTACAATCAGCTGGATGCTTAACTAATGGAACTGATGGATCACAGACTTTTGCAATTTCATATTTTGGTGTTGTGAATGGAATGACTGGTATTATTGGAATGATTGGAATTTTCACAGTTGTTGGTTTAATTGTTGATGTTGTGGTGTCTATTAGCGTTGGTTGTGGACCGAAAGCACCACAGTCACAGAAATACCGAGTTTCATAATCAAAGCATTGACCTTTGCAAACTAATCCATTTTCCATTGAGCATTCAACATTTTGACCTGTCATCTTTGGATGATTGTGGCCAACAACTGTTCGACACTCAATTGATGCATAAAAGTCTGGAGCACATTGAACTTTCTGTCCAGCTTCTTGCTGTTAATTATATGAAAAATAAATCATTGCTCTTAAATTAAAATTGGTAACTGATCTTACGAATTTAGATGACCTTGGCATTGGTTCCTTATCATCATCCTTAAAGTAACTTGCTTTTGAAGGCATTGAAGTATTTTGCATTATATCCTGATTCAACCATTCTGTCCATCCAGTTTCACAAACAAATAAACTCTCAACTTTTTGTGCATTATCAATGCATGGCGTTCCAGTGCAAACTTCAGCTCCACGTGAGCACTTGCATGTATAACATCCATCAGATTCTATGACATCATCTTCGTAGTAAGTAACTCCATCAACTACCATACAAACTGGCTTGCAAATTGACTTTGGAACACAATCCGTGTATGAGTCATTCTTATAAACAGTTCCAGTTGGACATTCACGAAGTTTGCAGCCTTCAATGCAATTATCACTTTTACAAAGACGCTCTTGTTTCAATGGATGCATCATATTATCGCACGTTTCAACCGGACATGCTTCAATACACGGATTATAGTTTGAACACGTTGGATTGCATTGCATTGCTTTAAAGGAATTAGAGGAAGTAAGGTGAGTGAAGAAACGATAACAAAAATAAAATCCTTGAACTTACGACACAAATCAGGTGTCCTCCAGCGAATGTTAATTCCTCTTGCTGTGCATGCATAAGCATATGCAGCCAAAGACGTACACAAACATTCACAATCGCCACCCAGATCGCAACTGCATGTGTCTGTTTGAAAATAAATAGTTGACCTAGATTAGTAAGGTTAGGGTAATAGAATTTTGGGAGGATAGGAGTAATTTAAGCACTATATACCCAGAAAGATTCAACTGATTTAACAGCTTGAAACTTTAATAAAATGATTCGTATAGTAACAATAGCAACAGCACTTATAATATTGAAACCTCATTAATTCGTATAACAGCTTACCATGAACACATCGTTTGTAGTAGCTATCAACTTCAACTTCCGAGTGACATTGTGCAAATTCCGATGATTTCAATAATCCGCATTTAAATTGCGACCATGTTTTCCTCTGTGGATTTAATGTACACGAGTCAACTTGTTCAGTTGGCACTACGGAAATACACACAGAAACAGAGGCAAATAAAAATAAAAATACAAAAATACAAAAAAGGATGTTAAGCAATCTTACTTGAACAAGAGTCATCGAGCTTCCATGAGTGACCAAAAATAATTGGATTATTTTCAATACCAGCCGATGGATTGAGAAAATCGTCAAGAGCATCATAATTGTAATTTCCACATAATCCCTGAACTTTACCCTTCCAACGATTCTCCAATCTCAAATATACTCGTGTGCCTCGATCCCATTTAAGCATTACACCAATATGTGGTATTTCAACGATGAGAAAGACACCCGAACGATACGTGAGCATTTTTTTCAATGGCTTTGCTGTGTAATGTGTGCACATACATGTATGAAAATAGAAAATGGAAACAGACATAAAATGAAGAAGAAATGGAATTTTGTAAATCGTAAGGAGACAGAAAATGCTAAAAAGGATTATTTATTTTAATTAAATTAATTAAAGAAGCATTAAAGTTTCCTTCTTCCTCGATACGAGTAAATACAAACACGTATGCATACCTTCTAATAAGCCTTTGATACCCGGCACGGCTGTATCAGATGACAATGTAATTGATTCTGGTTCTTCGCCGACAAGATTAATTGTCAATGCTTTTGAGCATGTGACGCCATTAGAACCGCATAATACGTTTTGAATTGTAACTGAGTATCCGTCAGCATTTAAGACTTTTCCTTTTGACAGAACATATGTGCATACACCTTGGAAATCAAATTCACGTCCATCGAATGTTGTAAAGTGATTATCACCCCATAAGCTACATGTTGATGCACACTCTTTCACTGTGCATGCCCATTTACCGCCTTTACATGCACTGCAGATAGAAATGGGAATTTAAATGCAATGAAGTGAAAGATTTTTAGGATTTAGCGAGATTTTCTCATTTATACATAGATTAAGGTAAGCATCCTTAAAAATATAAAATCACTTACCATGTATTACAATCCTCCTTAATTTTATCACCGTCATTGTAACTTCTTCCACCATGATGACATGAACAGTTTTCCGGCAACACACATGCCTTCAAAATCGTATCAAGCACATAACCAAGTTTACAAACACATCCAGGACGACATAAAGCCGTTGATGTTGAAACATTTAAGTGCATATTTTTACATGTCAATGGCTCTGCCGATTCACATGTTGTGAATATTTCATGTCTTACAGCTGAACATTTCTTTGATATATCACCAGCAGCTGGATAGTTAACAGCATCCGAATCACTTGCGTCAATGCATATCCATTTACCACCTGTGCATGTACAAAGCTGTAAAAGTTTGCTTCCCGGACGGACTTCTTTATATCCAGGTTTAAATTCCAAGCCTTTGTAAGTGCATTTACACATTGAAATCACGACACATTCATTATTTTCATCCAGCACTTGACCGGGTGGACAGCGACAACCTTCTACACATTGCAGTCTTTGCATGCCACAAGAGAATTTTTTTTACAAATAAGATTTTAATTAAAAATGTATATAGATTGACGTGAACTTACTTGCATGGTGTGTCTTTTTGTAAATCATAACATGTCCGTGAACAAGCTTCGCCACATTGGTCAAAGACTTGTCCGTCGGGGCAGTTTATGGCTATTTTTTAAGGAGTAGAAAGAAAAGTTAATTTATTTTGCTTTCAGTAAGTGCCGTGAGGGATTTGACATTTCTATATTTAGTTGTGACTCAGTTTTAATGATGTTCAACTCAGGTGAGACTTTAGCATATAAACTTTTTGGCCTTTCACTAAAATCTCATTAAATATCTAATTATAGATCCTGTCAAGTCAACATTCCAATCACTTACCACACTCAGCAACCTGATATCTCCAATTAAGTATCGTTCCTTGTCGTGCACATTCCGTAGCATAAGCAGCCATTATTGGACATGCACATTGACTAGCATCTCCTTTGCATGCACACATATCGTACATACAATCCTCATAGAATGGCTCTGGATCAACAAACAAGTGACACTCCTCAAAAATTTTATCTTTTAATACCTTAGAGCAAATTTTCTCAGCCTTTGCTTTATTTTCTGGATTCATTTGACATGGATGCGGTATAATTTTGTCACTGATAAAATCGCACGACTCTTTCGTTTGCCATTTGTTTGCGAATGGATGAACAGTCGTTTCAATGTCACCTGGGAAATGAAAATGTTGAAAAAGAAAATAAATAGAAAAATTTGTGAAAGGTAGGATGATGTAGGTCTGGTGCGTTTGTGGATTCAATGCTTTCAGAGAAATTAATGATGAGGAAATCCTTTTGACTGATGTGAATTATTTTTTTGAATAAACAAAAAAATTGTCAAGGGGATAACAACGTAATGGGAAATTTCTCGCTTTTTTATTTCCAATGTAATCAATTTTGGCAGGAAAATGATAGATTTGGAGGAATTTAAAATTTCCCACCATGTTGGATTCCCCTTGAAAATTCATGAATTTTTTGATAACCTCAAAATTTAAGCTTCCAAATTCTCAACAAAATCCAGAAGAAAAACCATGAAATGGAACTAAACAAATAAAGTTTAACTACAAAGTATTATAATTCAAGAAATCATGCCCAACTAATCTCAAACTTTTTTTCAACCATGAGGATATAACCGAGTAGAAAAAAAGTCTTCATCTTCTAATTACCAAAACTTTTTCCTCTTTTCTTCCATAACAATTGATTGTTTAATTGCTGTTTTAGAATTCAAATACAGAAAGAAAAACTTTATCTTTACACTTTTTAATGGATACAACTATTGAAAATGATTTTATTCCTCATTGTTCTCAGCTTCCTTTTATCTATCCTGTCTTCGAAGAACTTTTCCTCTTTCTTTTCATATTCTGATAATTTCTTCAGGAAAAGTTCAATTTTCTTCATCATAAAAATAAAATCATCAGAAAATAAAATAAAATTCATGTAAAAAAAATGTGATATGGGTGGGAGTAAGGTTGGGGACGTAGAAACTTATGAAAATAGAGTTAAGGAAGTAAGAAAAGTGTTTGATGCTGTTTAGATGATATTACCCTAATGACACAAGTCGGTTAATCGAATAGAAATCTGGCACCAAGCTGGTGTGAGTCTGACATGGTTCTGGATTCAAATCGAAATCAGCACCAGAGTCATTCCGGCTGTGCACCGGATTTCTATTCGATTAACCGACATGTGCCATTCGGGTTAAATCTGAGTTCGATTATTTGCTATACTTTATCGCTTACACTACTACTAGAGTCACTCCTGCCATCCTAAACTAGATTGTACACCAACCTAGTACTTGATTTAAGTAAGCTAGCTTCATTCGTACATAAAATAAGACCACAAGTACGAAGAATCACATAAATTATGAAATTTCTAAAGACAACATAATTTTGGTACAACACAAAGCCACATAATAAATTCAAATCCTTTAGATAAACAGTCTGACATAGTGAGAAATAAATTGATTCTTCGTTTTCAGTAAGAATAACACCACAGCATGAGAACTCAAGAGAAACTTTCAATGTCAGTTGTCTGTAGAAAATTGAACAATTGAAAGAGCATAAAATAAATTTAAAAGAATGAAGAAGAAACCTCTTGAGAGAAAACTACATGTTCTTCATAGATACACAAGGAATCGAGTCTGAATATAATAAAAATTATGATAAGGTACCTTCCGGTGTAAGAAAATCATCTTGCATATTAGAATTAAATGTTCCACAAAGCCCTTTAGTCTTTCCACGATAAGATGCTGGTGCATCAATGTATGCTCTGGTTGCTCCATCCCACCATACTTGAACGCCATCATGGAAATCAACTGAAATGCAAGTTTAAATGTTAAAATTTAAAAAGTCAGAGAGATTATTGAATGTACAGTTCCTGAAGGTCTGACTGAATAATTTATAATTATCAGAAGTTTTAGGAACTAGCGCTGCTCATTCAAAAAATATACAAAGTAAAGTCTTACCGACAAGGAAGGTTGAACTAGCTTGCTTTATTACAACTGCACCATCATCTAAGTCCCATGGCAATGTTGAGACTTCAAAACCATCAAGAAGCACAAATCCACCCTGCTTCAATTTAATTATTCTCTTTTGGCCAGCATTGTCATTAAACTTCATTGTGAGTGACTTCGTACAGGATGGCATTTCAGTCGTAAATGATGGAAGAAAATTCATACTCTCTGATATTGCACCCGAGCATGCAACATTTTCCGCTTCTACAGTAAGTTCATCGGTTTTCATTAAGTAGTATGAGCATTTACCCATGAAATCGTATCGCTTTCCATCGAATGTTACATAATGAGGATCTCCGACAGATGAACATCGTGAGCCACATGTTTTTGATGAGCATTCCCAATTACCGTTCTCGCATGTACATGTATTACAGTCGCGCTTAATTTTACTGTTTGGTGGAAATGCTTTGCCCTTCAACTTACATGGACACATTTCCTTCTTGACGCAAATACCATCATTAAGCATTGTTCCGTCGGGACAAAAGCATCCTTCACGACAATCTAATGAATTAGTCTCTATGGCGGACCCACATGATGGCTCATTCAATGGTCCACATGATTTATACACACGACCATTGGTGCAATTTAATGCTGAGAAATGTAAGATGAAATTTTTTTAGAATAGAAAAATATAAAAAGTTGCCACAATAAATGTTACAAGCTTGTCAGATGAGTAAATGCTGTTGGATATTGTGAGCATGAATTGTGAAACTGTCTCGTCCATGAGAAGCTTTTAAACTGACTTGTAAGTTTTTATTTGAATCTCGAAATTAATTTAATTTCAAAAGGGGTTCATTCATATGTGACGTCAATTTAAATGCGCTATTTTTAAGCTACTTCATGCTCTCAAAATTACCCTTAACATCCAGTAAAATAAAATAAATTCTTACGACATATTTGATGGTCTCTCCAGCTATCATTCAACATAATACCACGGAAACGGCAATCCTTTGCAAGCACAGAAATTCCATTGCAACTGCATTCCGTACGTCTCAAAGTATTTTTACAATCACAATAATCCGAAATGCAATTTTTCATTAAAACATCCTTATTGAAATTTTTAAAGCAATTGGTCATTCTTGGATTTTTCAATAAATCCGTACATATGAGATTTGCCTTCTCATCAACAGATGTCTCACATGCTGTTTGCGTTTCCATCTTCTGTAGACGAGGAATGCATTGCTCCTTACTCTTGTCCATACTCAGTGCACGCCATGAATCAACAAATGTTGATGGCATCTGTTGTGGATGATATACAATAGTTGAATGATAAAAATTGAGAAATAAGTATAGAAAGTTTGTAAATGTTTAGGGCTGTAGCTCATTTCTTGGAAGACATTTTTAACCTGTGAAGCCATTGACCAAGATGAAATTTGATACTTTTTTAATAGAAATGATTGATCTTCTGGGAATTAATTTTTAGGATTTGAAAAATTAATCTGTCCTACCAAGAACAGAATGAACTTGTTTTGATTCTGCTCGAACTTGCTCAAACGAAGCAGTGCTGCTCAAACTTTTTTTTCCAAAACTCTCAGATGTTGCTGGATCTGCTTTGGTTTGTTAATAAATCAGACTCTCTTGTTGGATGTGTGACGCTTCGTAAAGTTTGAGAAACTCTGCTTTATTTATGAGCACTTTTTAAGGTTATGTCTAAAAACTCTTGCTATAAGATGAAAGTGTCAAATCATACTTTTTCTATCACTACGTAATATTTTCAATAAGATCCAAAATTCTGAATAACTGCAAAGCTCATACAACCCAAACTAGAGCTCCTTACAGCATTTTCATTTCCACTTCCACGAAAATGAGCTTACCAAAGAGTATGATGATAGAAAAATGAAGAGCACATTAGATCCACTTACTTTATGAAATTCTCCATCTTTTGACATAAAATCATTGCTCATGATTCCATCCATTGTACCACAAATGCCAGCTGTTCGATTGAAAATGCTTGCTGATGCATCAATCTGAACAAATTTCTAAAAGATTTCAAACAGTAAAAAAAAGTACATAAGAAAATGAAAAGAAGATTGTAAATGTGATGGAGAAAAGGAATTGAATTGAAGGAGCAGAAATAATAAGAAGGAAAAAATGTAATAAGGAAAAATGAAGATGAAGGATTATTGAAAAAAAGAAGTTGTGCTTCCATTGAAAAAGAAAGAAAAAAATCCTTGCGCCAAATGTTTGAAATGGAAATTGATGAAAGTCATAATGATGAAAAGAACGGAAGAGAATAGTTTTATTGAAAAAGGAAATCTGATTTAATGATAAATCATGAGGCGAAATTGATGTATGAAATTATTGAAAAACATGGAATCAGAATCTTTTTTTCTTCACTGCTGATGGGTTTGATTCAATTGATTATTGGAAGATGATAGAAATTGATGAATAAATTATTATGGAATTGTTGATCCAATTACAGATGAATGCTTGCGAATTGCAATGAAATGTTTAACCTTGTTTGTAGTTAAAAGCGATAGTAAACAAGAAAGCAATAAAGTTTGAATTTAAATTAATGTTACTGGCAAAGATCCATATGATTCCAATAAGGGACCGTTCACAAAACTGTCACAGATATCAATCCCCTCCCCCCTTGTGAAAAATTATGATTTCCTGATTAAAAAATTGGATGTCACAAATTTTCTTACCCCCTCCCTGCCTTGTCACAATGTGCCCCAAATTTTTTGAACCCCCCTTCCCCTAAATGTTGGACGTCATAAGTGAACGACCTCTGATACATAACACAAGGATAAATCTATCCGTTCAAATGCTGGACGACAAAGTTTAAATACATTAAAGAACTACTCTGAACCTCTCCTCTCTTCTGGTCCTCCTGAACTAGACCTAGTTAATCAAGAACCTCAACAAAAATGATATAAATGAACACAATTAACTCTGATGAGCTCCTTCATTCCTGAATGAAAAATCATTCAGCATAAAATTTGTATAAAATAAATTAAATTTTCCTCAAAAATTACTCACAATGAGCAATGAATCTCCAAAAAGTATGAGCATGCAAAATTTTTTTGAGTGAGGCAAAAGAGCCAAAAAGCCAAAGTCGTTAATGGCCAAAGCAGCAGCAAAAAGTGGAAGATGAATGAAGCACAAAATAAAGTTATGTAACTTAATTTTCTCATCGTATAAAGTCATATTATGTATATATATGAAGGAGATGGATATAACATAAAGCATACAAAGCATACATAGTAATTCATCAAATTAGTGAAAAGCTTGTGCTACTCTGACGCCATTGTTATTAAACTCAATGTTGGATGGATGAAAATGCCAACAGAAATTTATATACATTACTTTTGAATCCCATGTGATGGTCAGTGGAATTGACTCTAACAAAATTCTAACATCTAATCCAGATCTTGTCACTTTTAAGCCAGAAATCTGTACCGGAATGGGGAATTCCTTCTTTGTGGTAAACATTTTTACTTCTCCATTATCATTCTCAAATGTGAATTGCTCATTTTGTAGGAAAATTTCCAATGCATGTGGACATGGCTGTACTGAATCGTAAGGACATGAACGTAAAATAACATTAAAGCTTCCATCTTTGTAGTCTTGGACCAAAACATGCGAGCAGAAGAGTTCATGCGAGTATGTGACACCATCAAATGTTTTAATTTTATTGCCGTTCCATAACATGCAGATACTGGGCTTTGGTGTTCGGATCTGCATTTCTACATCTCCTGACATGTACAGCTGATAAACGCCTGGCGTTTCAAACATTTCCTCGTCCTCCTCCCATGACTGTAATTAAAAAAAATATTTATTTTCAATTATTTATCTTGCATGCAGCTTTAGATTAAATTGAACTTGAAACAGCTACCTTGAAAATAAGAATCTAAGTAAATACTGATACCTTGCCAACCAAAATCTCTCTCAATGAAACTTTCCTACATTTCCAATCTCTTAAATTATTTATGTGCGAAAAATTTCTTTTAAAAAAATTGAATGAAAAAGTTCTACATCTCCTGAATATTTATTTTTCTACTCGATTTACTTGACTTTGTCTTGTTTTTCTTTCGTGAAAGTGAAAAAGTTTTTTCCATGGAAAAGCTTTTTAATGCATCAACTAAATACAAATAAACAGACATACATGCAAGTTAACATGTATACAACGATCCGTGAAAGTCTTGTGAATTCTTAACTATTTGACTGTTTGGAAACTAGGAGTTTGCTCAATGATAGTTGCCCACAATGTGCCATCTTGGAATCGGTTTTACAGATTCGGTAAAAAAACATTCGCCCTTTCCCTTTGTGAGCAAGTGTCCATTTAGCTAGATACCTTAGACTCCAATCTGTTCTTACACCACAGTTTCGCCCTTAACTTTATCTCCTCATCCCCAATTATTTGCAGTTCAAAATTCAAATTCAAAATTTTTTTTCACTTACCACTTTTGCCTTCTTTTTCTTTTTCTTGATGACTTTTGTCTTCTTTATGATAGTTTCCTCAATTTCCTCCTCATCCTCACCATCAGACTCTTCATATGTCTGTGTGACCATTTTTGTAGCTCCTTTCTTCTTGATATATGTTCCATTTGACTGACCAAATTGGAATGTATGAGTTGGTTCATTTTGAAAGACGAGAACTCCATCTCCTGTAAAATGGGAATGCAGCATGTATGAATATAATAGCTTCAATGTTAAAATTTTAAATTTATTAATATTTAAAAGATAGTAAAATTTACCGTAAACACATTTCGGAACTTGTCTCGGATAGAATTCACCAACAGCATAATTGCATGTGTACTCAGATGCTGGCTCAAATTCAAAACTTATTCCTTTTGGACCTAAATGAGAGTAAAAATGGGTGAGAATGTTGTGTAAAAGCAGACATGAAGATTTTCAATTAAAAGTTTTTAAGAGGAAAAAGCCATGATTTAAAAAAATAGGAAGGAATGGGAAAGGAAATTAAATTTTTGAAAACTTTTTACTATTGTGGATTAACCAGAAGAACCACAATGAGACATGCATAGAAAAATCTTGTCTGGTTTGAGAGAATGAGCAGTTTAAAATCCTTTTTTAGGTGTATGGATTAATCAGGATTTATGTAGGACACATGAGAAATTATTTATAGACATAAGCTGCAAATTAAGAGTCAAATAAAATTCCTTAATTTTGGGAGTAGATACAAGATGGAAAAGATTATGTCCTCAAAAATCTAACTCCATTCCTGTCCTCATACAATCAACTTACATTTCAGCTTGCATGATATGAGATCGCCAGTTGATGAACAGTTGTAAGGACCATTGAAATCCATTTTCTTCGGTGAACAATCAGCCATGCTATATTGGCACTGTGGTCCTCTAAAAATAAAATTTTAGAAGCACCAAAAATTTCTAAAATTAGCATCGAGATATTTCAAGATAATTGCCAGCGAGCATACCTAAAATTGTGCGGACATTGACAAACATTGTATGATAAACAAGTTCCACCGTTTCGACAAGAAGGCTCGCATGTAGCTAGAGGAAGGAAAAGGAATTTTTTTTAATTTATAAAGCTTGTCGATCAACATCATCGTCATCGTCATGGTAGTCAGCTTGAAATGTAAAATTTTCAATAAACTATACACAAAAAAAATATCTTTTTACGTTCACAATCGGGAATGTTTTGAATTTCCTGTCGTTCCGGCATCCATGCTCCATTTTTGCATAAAAGATTCATCGAGAGCGATGCATCTGGGAACTTATAGCCTACATGAATTATAGAAAATTAATGTTGAATGGTATATGTGGTTTAATATTCATAGAGCTACTTTCATGTAGAGCAAAATTTCACGGCGAAAAATATGCCGTGATGGCAAAGGGGATGTTACTTTTGGGGTGGAGTTTGGTTCAAATTTTAAGGTCCATCATGTTGCTCTCGCCTTGAAGAATATTCGCACATACTTTAGCTTTTGTAAACTACAAGATTGTAATTAAGACAGACCATAAAATCAAAAGTATCATCCCCTATTTCGCTATTCTCTTACTCTACATGAGAAAAATGAAAATTAATCTTTTAAGTACCTTTCATACATGTTACAGTACACATCCTATGAATGTACAAATATGAGAGAGAAAATGGATTAATATAACAAAAGGTTTTAAAGAGGTTTCTGATTGTTTTCGGAAATTTCAAGCAGCCGTACTCTTGTAAAGTCATTCATAAATGACGTCAAATTATATAGGATTTCTGGCTCAACAACCCTACATGCATCACATACAAACTATCTTCGTATATTTTTCTTTTGTTTGAAACAGCATTCTATCAAAAATTAAGACATCATTTATGAACAGACCCTTGTAAAATTAAATAAATTCCATTTAAAATAATTATAATCAATAAAGCAATGATGTGTTATGGCTGTATGCATTTATGCTTTAGATTTTCATATAATTTAATCTCTATTATCATAGAATTAAAAGCATAAATAAGCTATAAACCTCCTGAAAACTATCAAATCTACTCACGCTGATGTACAAGATCGCTTTGAGTTTGCTGGAAGTGGCGGTGATTTAAGGCAAAGCTACAAAAAATATTATTAGTCATTTTCAGGATACAAACATCATAAGTCACTCACCTCCTTTTTCATTTGACATGTCGGTCCCATGAAATTTTCAGGACATTTGCACTAGACATAAATACAAAACAGTGAATTACTAGGCATTATGAAATTTAATCTACTCAATACCTGTCCCGGTGAAATACAAATTCCATTGTTTAAACATTTTGGCAAACAAACAGCTATAAAACAAAAGATATCATATTATGGATGCATAGAATTTCAAAAAAAAGTCTTTTAATTACGTTCACACGGTGGAACTTCATTATACTCAAAGTTCTGAACAATCCATCGGCCATTCATACACGAAAGTGACATTGTGCTTTCGCCATTTGGAAATTTATACTCATCGAGGCATGTAATCTTGCAGGCACCTGATCCACATTGAAGTTTGGTGTTTGGAGATATTTTTGGCTTTGTTGTGCACTGAGCACCTATTTTGATGATAAAAACATAAATTAAGTTAATGGAAGTGCTTGTGACTAGTTGAAATATTTCTGTGAAGCCTGAATTATTTAACATAAAAATGTCTATCGAAAAAAGTAAGTTTTTATTGAGTTTTAGCAACAAATTCAACAAGGGTTTGTTCATAAATATCACTCAACGGTTGACCTTAGTAAGAACATCATTTATGAACGAGTCTGAAGGCTCATAACTTCACATCAATTAGACATCAATCAATAATCACATAAATCAATTCACAATTATAAAATCAGATAAATTGCAGCTCTAAATGCTGTAAGAAATTTACAGTCTATGCCACACATATTCAATGCATTTGTGGCTTTACATACATTTTCTTATGCCTCATACTATTCATAACATTAATTTTCCAAGCAAACTTCTTTGGATTTAACCTCTTTTTCTTAGGACCAGTCTTCAGTTTTTGATCCTTTAAGTAAACTTCAGCACGTGTTACTGACGGTTGTACAGCAACTTTGTAGCCATTCTCTATCAGAAATGAAATAAATCCAATAAAACATCCAGTAAACAAAAATATCAATGGCATTTCAACGTCTTCTGGATCTTCTAAAAATCCTTCAAGTATTCCCTTCTTCACTCTTATTTTGTCCTGCACGTCAAGCATCAAATCTCTTTGTAAATATTTACGAACACCAAACTCGTGTAAAGCAGTGACCGTCCAACGAAACTTCTCACTATAAGCAAATCCTTTGCGGATTGTGTAGGCTTGATGTGATACTTTTATCGGAAGTTTTCCAAATCGTCGTTCATTTGCACGATAATTTTTTACAGTCCGAATGAGTGTGTCAGCATATGAACATCCAACAATGTAGCCAATTGACTCAATAATATCGTCTGGTGCTGTAAGATCAAGCGATTGCCATGACTCAAGTCGATTCATAATCAATTTATTACGAATGACTGGCATATTAAGTTTCATAGCTGCTTCTTCGTTGTAGTAGCTTAGAACTTTTGTAGATCCACGATTGAACTCAGCAATACTTCGTGGTTGTCGAAATGAGGTCTGTGTGAACATGAAGGCAATAACCATCGATTTATAGTAAGCACCAAGAATGAATGCACCAAAAACATAAGAATAGACCAACAGCCGTTCCTTCCATGTTATACGCTCTAAATTAGGAATCGAGAGACCGAGTGTCATTTGGTACATGACAAAAATTATAGTCCGAAACCTCATTGCATCGCCATTGTAGATCATCATGAGCTTCCATAGAAACAGCACAAGGAGCATTGCCAAAATTATCAATGATGTTGAGATCCTGTCGAATGGATTCGTAAAGTTGACATAGTTCAGCCGATGAATGAACCTTGGAGTCATCAAGCACATCCCATTCATCTCATGAGTCCAAACAATTTCAGTTGATGGAGAAGCAACATGTTCATTTGTGTATGTGCAAATATCAAAGCTTCCATTAATGACTTGCTTCATCTTTTCCATTGAATAATCATGATCATATGGATTGATTATCTTGTAGTTTATGCCAAGTCTGCTTGTGAATTCTTCCATCAATATTCCTTCTAATCCTTGTATTTTTGGTCCTTTGGCGCGGGTCAGAGGTTCACTGTCATAGTGCAGTAAGTTAATGATGTTTTTCCTAGATATGTCCTTCATTTGAAACACTTTTGTCATTGCTGGTTTTGCGATTTTCGAGAATTTCAATTTATTTTCAATTCCAACGCGCACATACCAAATGTCAAATAAGCCTTCTAGTTTGTGAGAGATGAAGTATGCGTTATGTAGTCCGTTATCTCTTAGAAGTGCCCATAGTGCCATGAACTTTGAAGTTTGACTTTCAGAGGAATGAAAAATCACAAGAAACTTTGTAGCCTTGTCAGTGAAAATTTGTCCAAACTTTGATTTTAAAAACTTCTCATGCAGCAATGTCTCTGGTGTCATCAAAAGCATCACAAAATCAGGCTTTGTTTCTAATTTCATGGATTCTAAACTGTTTAATGTCACAATGATGTTTTCACTACTCAACTTAGCAAGAAGTCCTTCATAATAGTAGCTCCAACTGCTTCGGTCTAGTAAAATCATCGAAACTTCAATTTTCTCCTTGTCGATCGCATTTGTAGTCATAATTCTCATTAAATAATCACATAAGCTTCCCCACTCATCCTGTTTTACTGTTGGAATTTTAATTACTGCACTCTCAGTTAAAATCTTTGGGTTTTGCAAAAAGCTTGTGATAATTAAACATGCCAAAAATGAGAGAAATAACAGAGTAAGCTTCATCACTTACGAAGCTTAGTAGCACAACTTAAATGAACAAATCCACCACAATGAGTGCATTTAAAATCCACTCGATGAATAGTTGCAAAATAATTATAGACCATGATTTTCAGGACATAATGAAAGCACTCAAATGTAAGTTGAGTACTTAAAAATTACTGCATAATAATTATGGCTCTATTTTTTTTAAATTTAAAAAAGGTCGATTAATAAGGTTACTTTGACAACGCTTTATATGCATTGAAAGTTTGCAGTATTTTATAGAACTATTATAGCTGCATTGAAAAGTAATTACTGAACATTATGAACAACAAAAAGTTGTTGAATAATTAAAGAATTTTTAAAATTGTGTAATGGCACTTCTATGGCAACCATTTAAGTATTGACAGTAAATGATGATCGGATAAAAGAGGGAATCAACTTAATATCTAAAGTAGGATAACATTAGCATTGACTACAGATTCTAGAATTACGGAGTGTCAAATCATCTTCAAAAATCATTAAATTAAATTTGATTTTTAATCGTTTCATAATTTTTAAGCAGAAAGTGACTCTTTGTGTATGTTTCTTCCTGCCATAAAGGAAATATCTTGTCTTTATGTCATGAACATCATTCATGTAACTTCCTATATCCACAATAAAAATTCTATTACGAATCACGATTTATAATTGAATACTAGAAATGAGATATGAGATTGAAAGCTTTCAAAAGCCGGAAGCTTTAGAAACACATGCCGATTTAGCATTGACATTGATTCTATATTGTATATATAATGTATATAAAATGTACAATCACATTTGTAAGATGGAATTTTTTACGTTTGATTAAATATCATCTTCGGGGTCAGTGACTTGACTTTAGGGATGAATTTATCAAGGGTGGGCAACAAATAAATTACATTTTGATCATTTTTGATCATTTCATCCCAATTTCATCAGTACCTTACCCAACCTTACCATTGAAATTTGTAAAAATATTGCAGCAATGATCTTGACCTCAAGTGTCTTACATTAGAGAATATAAGTTCTTTGTATAACACTGAACCTAAAAAACTGATTGCTTGCCACCCAAATGGACCTGGTGGATAAAATCTCTTTACCGTTAGCTTCAAAAATCAATTATTTAATAGATCCTTAATTATAAATCAAACCCGATTCGAACATTCACCAAATACCACAAGCTCATAAAGTATAAAAGCTTAAACTACACTCGCATGCATGGGTTGAATTCTAAATTTTCCATGAATAAGAGCAACAATTTATTAAACTGAAAGAACTGGCACTTCATTCCATATGTAGTGTGAATGGAATTTCACATGAGTGCACAAGAAAGAAAATTTTAAATTCTTAAATGCTTCTAGCATTGAGCAATTGCTTAAAATATTGAAATGAAATTATTTTTTTATCATCATGACCTTCCATCATCGTCACACAAATCGCTCTCTCGTGCTGTTCATTTTGTTCAGCATCCACAACTTCCACAATGAAATTCTTTTCGTTTAATTTATTTTCAGATTTTTTTATCGTAAAATATGCACAAAATAATTTGCGTTTTATGACATTATAATGGCAAAAAATAAAATAAATTCACTTACCAGAGAATGATGAAGAGCTTGCGGAAGCATATGATCCACTGCCACTGCCAAATTGAGGTTGCTGCACACCAGGTTGATAGCCGTAACTCATTGAGCCAGCATTACTTGAATTTTAAAAAAATTTGAAGTCATTAAATTATTGTTGATAGCATTTAAGTGACTAAACTTACGCTTGAGATCCTGACTGCTGCATACCAGGCTGGAAACCATAGCTCATTGAGCCAGCATTGCTATAATGATTTTGAATCAAAACATGCTTTAATAAAAGAGATAAGAAAACCTACGCTTGAGATTGTGATCCTGACTGCATCATGCCAGGTTGATAGCCATAGCTCATTGAACCAGCATTGCTGATAAAGACATAGTCAATAAATTTGTGAAATACACTAAAATAGACTTTACTTACGCCTGCGATTGAGATCCTGTTTGATAAGGATTGTATTGCAAAGCCATTGGTTCATTAACCGGATCCATAGATCTTGATGAATAAACAGTCTTTACCGTTTTGATGCCACCTGTATTTGTTGGGTTTCGTACAACCCACGAACTCCTTTGACTGTACACAGGTCTTAAAATGTCAAATAAAAAGTTGTTAAACCAATTATTCAGCTTGTCAGCATAATTTATTCATTTTCACAGCAAATTCAATGCCAAAATATAAATAAATTTTATGACTTTATCTCGCCAAAAAGGAAGCAACAAGAAAATAAATATTCAGTTAAAAAAAATTTTTAATTGTGCAATGACATTATTTTTTATTTCAGTGAATGGGAACTTGAAAGTTGTGAAATGATTGTAATTAAAATGGAGCTCGTTGAGGATTAAATTGTGGATTTTTTGGGAAAGTTTATGAAAGGTCTAGCTTGATATAAAAACCAAAAATATTTAAGGAATTTCAGGATGAACTAGATCTGACAAGCCATAGCAAGCTGATGGTGTCATAGTCGAGACTTGGGCAATGAGTCAGAGATACCTTGATCTTATTTGTAATGGAATAAGTTTTATTACACCTCATGCTGATCACCGTCTGACACCCAAGACTCGGTATGTATAAAAATAATCACAACTCTAAAAAGCATTTTAAAAAGAATCACAAATTCCAATGCAAATCTAAATAATCCCAATTTAAAGTCACTAACAAAATCCATTAAGATCACATAAATCTAAACGACAAGCATCACTTGAAAGAGCTTTAAAAATTCATGTCTTTAAATTTTTAAATTCACTTTAGTTCCCATCCTTTGTTAAGATTAAACATGTTATTGCACATGATAATTCATCAGCGACTTGTTGAATGTTCTTTCTTTTCTTTTTCCTTTCTGACATTTATTTAAGATTCATTTTCAGAGGAAAAGACAGCAATGGGAATAAAAAGAAAGAAACAAGAAAGCGGGAAAAACTGACAGAGGAAGGAAGGAAAGCCTATATACAAAGTCAAAGATAAAGAAAAACGTTCTTACCTTGTATCTTGTTCATCACTGTCGCGAAACACCATTTGTGACACAGTGACATGATTTGACAGATAAATGTAGATCAATGTTAAGCAAAAAATCCATTTAAAGTTTTTTATCGCCATTTTTTTGGTTCTATTTTTAGGCACTTAATGCTGTTTATCACTTCTTATTTCTTCTTAAATTATTTTTTTTTTATATTTTGCTCATTTTTTATCACTCAAAATTCACAAGTCTTTGTGTGTGTACGTGTGACAGAACACAATGTCACTTGAGTATCATGCACTTTGGCATGTATTAACACACTGACACAGTTTTATCACTATTCTTGCACTAGACACTAGTCACTAGTCTCAATTTTATTTCACTACTTAACTTTTTCCAACTCTTTAATTCACTGTCACAATAATTACTGATTCGGTTCATGGATTTAGCGCTGTTTTTATAGGAAATTTCTTATCAGTAGCTGCAAGCTTTTGGAGAAACCAGCAATCTCATGACCGGATACAGTGAGTATCGCAGCATAAATTATGAGAAAAATCTCCAAGTTCTCAATTTTTGCTCAATTCTTAATCTCACAGTCAGCACATGGCTTGTGGCACTTTTAATTCTAATTGTAAACAAAATAAACTTGAGCTACTTCAAGCGGTTCAAGTAGAAAAATATTGTGGAGGTCCACTAGCATCATAATCGTGTAGGGAATTCTCTGTGATAATTTTCGTTCTCGCGCGGCTTTATCATCTGTGACTTTGTGGGATAAAAAAAATGTACTCGTCGTTGTGTGAACGATAAAAGAATGCCAAGGCACGTTTTTCAGAATTTAACGTCATGACAATTTGTATTTTGCGATGTTATAAAATAAACAACAACATAATAATGATGATTGTTGAATGATGAATGATTCACGACGAAATATTATGATTCTTTTTTTATCTGGATAGAAGCAGTGAATGGGTTTTTAATTGTATGCAAAATTGTTCATTCTTTTTTCAAAAGGATGTTTACGACTGATGCTCAGCGAGAGAATATGTTGAGATGATATTTCCAAAGAGGGTTTTCCAGTGACTCATGAGGTTATTTAAATTATTTTTAAGAGTTGATAGATATTTTTTCTTACAATAAGCTTCAATGCTTCAACCTGATTAATATGCGACTAAGTTGTATCTTCAAGTCTACAAGGAGGAAGCTCTCAAATGCAAAAAGACCTTAAGTACCTAAAATTATGGAGCATCAAAGGATCATGAAGCTGCGAGCTTAATCAAGAGCATGGCTAACCCTCAATCAGATCTTCCATTAATCCTCTTCAGACTTTGCAGTTAAACCACTTGCATCAGCTGTAAGAAGGTCTAATTGCGTCTCTAACAAAATGTCATGATTCTTATCATAAGGTCAACCCCCCCCCCCCCCCCCCCCCTTTTCTTAAAAGAAGAAAAAGTCTTGAATTTGCTAAGATATTGGAGAAAAAATTCCAAATCCCGGTTAAAAAATTTTGGCTCCAACCCTGCTTCCTTTAATAACTAAAAGCCTAAATGAACATAAGAATCGCATTATCCCTAAATCATATATACCCAACATACATATTCTCCACAAAATATTAAATTTTCTCATAATTTAATTAATCAATCATCACAAGAGCGAACTGGGAAAGCTTAAAGCTTCCAAAAAATTCATTAATGAGAATTTTCCTCATTATCCGGTATAATTACACAGCCGAGTAAATTAAGAAGCATCAAAAACATCCCCCGACGTAAAAAAAAAGTGGAGTATGGAGGCCGATATGTGGATGTAGAATTAAGTCATTTATCACATACATAATAGCGAAAAAAGTCAATTAATTAAATTACGTGAATTTCAATCAACATCAGAAGTTGGAACGAAAATAGTAAAAATGTCAAGTGCATAAAATTTAATTTACATGCTGTGTACATGCCAGTCGTATTAAATTCATAAATTATTAAAATATTAATTAATTAAATTACACGTACACAGAACAAAAAGCTTCACATTTTGATCTGAACTTTTTTATTTAATTTCTCGTCATTCCGTGCTGTTTGTGGGGTAATTAAATATTCATCAAGAGGCACTCATACTGAACCCTTTTTATCATACAAATAAAAGAGTATTTTTATGTATCGTTCAGTGAATATTGGAATTCCTTTCTTTTGATCGGCAATTGAGTGACGTTTCGATTAATTTCAGGTTACAAAATAAAATTATTGAAAATGACTCAAAGGCTTCATTTTCATTTAACGCGTTGTGTATTGTAAAGTTGATTTAAATTGTGCTGCATTTTTTTAATCCAGTATTAAATATTTAAAAAAATGTTTAATTGCTTCGAAATTCAAAGCCTTTATAAGTCGGTATCGCCAATTTATTTTATATCGAAGGTAAGGAGCCGTTTCTAGGTTCTTCCCAGGGCATCTTAGGGCAGAAATTAATTTCGATGTACTGCAATTTGGGATGTAAATGAAATTGATCTGAGACTTGTGTAGGGTGCCCCGGGTAGCCCTAGAAATCAGCCCCAGGATGCAAATGGCATTTTTTGATGTAGATAAATTCGGGAATCAATGATAAAGAATCCAGATTAAGTTTGTTGCTTTAATTTGTATGTCTGACGTAATATGAAAGCTTTATGAAGCTGAATTCTCGCAAATTTTTAATGAGCAGCTATATTTGTGTGAAACATCCTTTGTTCAAACATTTTGTGAAAGTCAATAATATTGAAATTCCCTAAAATTACATCTGAAAAGAGCTTATTAATAATTATTAATCTAATGTCTTGATAATGGCCTTATATTCACTAATAGCTTCTCGGACAAGTTCCATATGGAATTATCAGAGGCAATCGGAAATTTCTCATGAAATTCAATGCAATTAGCATCATTTATTCTTTTGTTTGCTATGCATTGTACCTGGCGACTCTATACTTTTTCATTATGGGAAGTGTGCACTTCAAATATTACGAGAACTATCCAAACATCACATTAATTGGTATGTATGTTGATATGAAAGCTGACAAAAGCTTTTCTTTTGTAAGTTATTAATGTTTTCAGCCATGAATGAAAATTAAAAATTGTGTCATATTGGAAATTATTCTTTGTGCTGTTGTTAAATGCATGAAAAGCTATGGATTTGCAATTTTAATTAGAATATTAAATGTTTGATGAAAACGATGTTTAAAAAGTTTATTAATGAATTTCAAATGCATGCGTTAGCGCTGTTCAATAGTTTTTCAAAAGCCCTAAAAGAATTAATCAACAAATTAAAAAATAAAGTCAAACGGGCAATCCAATTCAATTAAGTAATTTAACAAAGCTTTTTTTTTTGTTTTCAAACTACATACAAAGCTTAATTTTCCTATAGGCACAACTTTTAATTCCATTAATTTAAATCATCAAATTTAATTTTCAGGACACATAATGCACACAATAATCGGCTTAATAAACATCACAACGAGTCTCTTTCTGGCTTTTCTAAAAGCAAAAAAGCTATCGAATTTCCTAACCGAAATCTACAAAATTGATGATGAATTTTATGATTTGTGTGAGACGATACGAATTGATTACAAAAAGTCCTTCATCTTTCAACTAAAATGCCTCATCGTAAGCGTTCTGCTTTTTTGCTTTGTTGGCATGTTTGATTATTATGTATTTCAAGGGTAAATTTGTTCATCTATGTGATGGTTGTAGTAGCAATATATCTTACTTATGTGCCATTGCTATTACTTCTTGTTATTTAATATCAATATCATTGAAACGGGTGGTTGTTCTTTATTAAATCTCATAATTTTTGGCGCACTTTTGGGATGTTGTTGGGAAAGATTGAGGTTGGGATGTCTTTGTGTCTAAGTTTATGAGCCAAGCGTGTAACCAGGTGGGGAGGGGGGGATTTGGGGGACAAATCCCCCAACGTTAACAGAAATTTCTTCATTTAGTTTTATGAAAAAATCATCAAAATTCCTGGCTACGCCATTATGAGCAAAGTGGTTCTTTTTGTGTAGGTTTTTGATCCTTAAAATTTGGTCAATTACTTGACATCACAGCTTTATTGTAGCTCTTTAATATTCAAGCACACTTTCCAGCATGATTGCTTCCCAGCCGTTGCAAAACATATCAATAAAGTAGCTAGCACCCCCAAAAATGCGCCAACATCATCCCAAAAAAATGATCTTAACATTATCTAACGTTTCCCGCTTTTATTCCCATTTCTCTTTCTCTATTGCCATTTGCTGTATATCTACTGTGTAATAAGTATTGATTGATTTTCTTTTCTTCTATCTCCTCCTTCGCTTTTTGTGCTATGAAAACATTGTCGAATGACTCAAATTGAATTTAAATTGCTTACGAATAAAAAAAAATTCACATACATGCGATTTGAACAAATGAATAACATGGAAATGGATTATGAACGAAAAAAAATTTGTAAAGATTATATGGCACTATGTCGATTGTTGTTGTCATCTCTTACATCATACCATATTCGATGGCTGCATGTTCAGCGGGTTTGTAGAATGAAATGTTATTGGATTATTTGACTTAGCTGATGTTTCTCAGATTTTTAAGGTTTTTTTGAATTGAATTATTTTTGTAGATTTTGTAAACTTTATTAAATCTTGAGTATGATTGATCAAAAACATCCCTAATTGATTTATTTAAAAAAACTTTATAAAAATTTTGAGAAACTTTTATAATTATTAATTTTATTCTTTCTCTTGTTCCCAATACTCATTTATAATTTTTAATTAGACCACAAACTCATTTTTAATTATGATGAATGCTTTCATATTAAATAACTCATAACATATCATTTTTCTGTGCTTAAACTTTCCAGGGCAATATATAATAGGAGTTCATTTGATCTACGAGCGTTTCATTTTAATTAACAAGTAAGTTTATTTTCATAAGAAATAATTATAATTACATTTGAGGATATGAGTTTGAGCACATTTTGAAATGCTTTTTTTCCGGACCCTCCTTAGACCTCCTGGATATGCTTGTTGAGGTTTAGATCTAACTTAATTCTTAATTGCATAAAATATATTCAGCAAAAATTAAAAGCACAAAAAGACATCGCCCACCACTTCAGGAACAAAGAAACAATATCTTTAAGCTTTTTATTACAATTTCTTCTTTTCTTTTAACAATTCTTGCTATTCTCAATAATTCATTAACTGAAAGATTCTTAAACAACATCGTTGACACAAACGAACCAACGAACACAGCCATTAAAATGCATCAGGAATTATTTGAAGATGACGACGATAAGAAGAAGAGAAAAATAAATTCACAGCCATTTTCCATAAGTCGTAACATAAAACAGAGAAAGTACATAGAAACCAATAACATGGAAATGAACACAACAAATTCAAATAATAATAAAAGCAATAATGAATCAATATTGAATGCAATGGAAAAATTTAATGATTCTGTAACGTCAACAAATCGAAAAGCGATTGAGAAACTAAGTCGAGAAGATGGAAAAGATACAAGCACTAGCAACAGTTCTCAATCATTTTTTCAATTTCTCAAATCTGCTTTTAGATGCAATACAACATCGTTGAATAAAATCGTTGAACAAACTGAATTGAATTATCCATTAAATTTACATTTACGAATGAATGAAATCTTCTCAATGCACGACAAACTCTGCGACATTGCTGAGTGTTTTAACGACTTGTATTCGATTGGTAAGAGCTTTGTATGAATTGTTTTTACATGTTTTTATTTTTAAGTTGAAAAAAATATGTTTAAGAAATGTCAGAAAATTTTGAATATTAATCTTAAAGGAAGGTGGATGTACCTGACCTCAAATGTCGTCAAATTTACACAAGATCCAACTTTAGACATCCAGACTAAATCAATCCTAATCTACTAAGCCGTATGCAACTCATTAAGATGACGAGATTGTCTAGTTCCCGGCAAATCCTGATCAATATTTAAATAAAAATGATTTTAAACTTTCTTTGAATTTTCAAAAAAAGAATTAATTTTGCTCCAATAAATGTCAGCTGAAGCTCCTTCACCAGAAATTCTGAAATCATTTTAAAGCAAGACTTTATCAAAAGCTCTCATCTCCACTGCAGTCAAAAAGCTTTATATTTATGAATATTCTTTCATTTCTGAAGCATATCTGCATTTATTTGTTAAAATATCTTTATAAATATTCATTTCTCTCTCTCTTTTATTACAGAAATGGTTGTCAACATCACCGGAAGTTTCATAATGATTTTATTTGGAATATTCTTTGAAATTAAGGTTAGTACTTTTGATGTTTAACGCTTTTGAGCTTTTTGATGTATATTAAATGATATCAAATGAGATCAAAGACAAATATTGCAACAGAATTATTAAGAAAGATTTAAATCAAGTTCTGAGGAATTTAGTATAGATTTATAGTTAAGTTACTATTAGGTCAGCATTAGGTTTGATCATTATATATGTTTGACATAAGTGGCACGTGGAATTACCTTAGTCAATGTCAGTATCGTAGCTACTAGATTCCATTGAAAAATCTCTGCATTTGTGGCTACTTAGTCAACAATACTAGATACTACTGCCATATTCTCAACATTAAATCTAGCATCCTCATTATTATAATATTCAGTTGATTGCAATTCCATTGTTAAGCACTCAGAGAAACATTTCATATGACCCACAACTTTTATATTCATTTTTTTCAACAGAAACGTAAAACTTTTATTTGTTAGCATAATAAAGCATTAATATTGTCCTGTCAACTACAATTTAAAATTTACATCTTCTCGTGTACGTTATTTTTTGTATCGCATGCAGCACAAAATAAACCATCCACATTTATTAAATTGTACTCTACATCTGTAAATAGATAATGACTGTTGCAAACTAAATTAAACTTTTTTTTTATATCCATATCCTTCTTATTCTTTACACTCATTCTGTTTTTCACATCTACTAGGTCATATTTTGGTCGCATTTAAACATACAATTGCTTACAATTGCAACATCATACATCCTTTGGGGAGTTCTTGTCTCAACCATTATTTATGTTGCACTAAGAGTATGCAGGTAAGCAAGTACAAACAGAACATATACTGAAATAAAAAGAGGAAACTGCACTGAAAGAGAGAAGAGAGAATAAAAATAGCAAAAAAAAAAAAACTTGAAACTTAAAAATAATGTCACATGTGAGAATTTAATTTTAGTTGAGCTGGAATGGATAAAGTTTTAAAATAAGTCTGAATGATTTTTGGGGTTGATGGTGGATGGGAAGCAGTTTTGAGGTGGTGTAGTGGCTTTGAAGCTGTGTTCGATTGCAGGTTATGTCTAGCTAGATACTTGTATACTGATCTAACCTGAGTTTACCAATTTAAAGTCGAACTCGGGCTTGAGATCCAAATTCTTAGTTCTTTAAGCTTAATAATCCAGGACTTTCATTGATTACTATTAATTTTGTCCAGTCAAGTCAAACTGATTGAGATTTAGAATATTGTGGAATTATTTAAGTTTATTGTACATTTTAAACGCGAGTTTTATTATCGTAGTTGAGGATGACTATCAGTTTTCTTAAACTCAAAGTTTAAAAGAATTTCCTTGCAAATAACATTAATTTAAAATTGGAATTGTAGAACCCACACATTACCCCTGATCTCAGTTTGAAGCTCCAAAATCTTCATAAAAATCCCAAATTAATATCATGTGACGAAATTCCAGTCCTTTCAAAAAGTAAAGCTAGTCATCCGCATCAAAAAAAATTATTCTCATATATGCACTCCGCATGGAACAAAATAACATTTTTAGTGAATCGTATGAGAGACAAAGTTTTAATTTTTTCATGTTCATCTTTCACCTTGTACCGTGTTTTATGCGCGATTTCAGCAATACACGAGAGGAATCATGTGAATCAGCTTTAATTATACATAAAATCCTGCAAAATAAACCAGCATTTATGTTAAACGATGAGATATTTTATAACAAAATGAAATCATTTACTCTGCAAATATTAAATCGTAAAAAGGTATTGAATTGATTTATTTTTATATCCCCTTTTTTTGCAGACTCCATTTCTCTCGCTCTTTGTATGGATATAAACGACCCATTGCACATCAAATTATCTCAAATTTGACATGATGTTCAATTTAAATTTTTTCACATCCTTTTGGGGGTCTTTTGGATGTTTTGTAATTTTTGGATTGCAAAAGTTTTATTTTTTTTTTCTAATAATACTTAACCTCCTCTCCTCCTTTAATTTGTCTGGCTCGATGTTGACTAGTTTGAACTTGATTAGCTTGGAGTTGGCTAGCTTGAAAGTTGACTAGGTTGAAATTGACTAGGTTGAAGTTGACTAGGTTGAAGTTATCTAGCTTCAAGTTGACTAGCTTCAACTTGATTAGCTTAAAGTTGACTAGCTTGAATTGAAGCTATCTTGCTTAAAATTTTCTAAGATTTTGTCAAATTTTATATATAAAAATCATATTACTTCAAACTCTAACGTTACGTAACATCAAAACACACCCCTTTTAATACTGTTTCTGCAACATTCTTTTTCCCCATCGAACATGAAATGTAATTTTTATCGATCAAATGCATTTAAGTCATTCCTCATGCAAAGAGAGAAGAGGAATGAAATAAATTGATGAAAAAAAAATTCTCAAAGCTCATGACTTTTCATTACATTTTTGTATGCATTTGCAGATTTTTCACTTCAATGTACTTGGCCTTTTCAGGATGGATTATACTTTTATATTTTCAGTGAGTATTTATAGAAAATGTTTTTAAATTTAACAACTTTTCGGTTTGTGAATTTAGTTCGCACATATGAGCAGAATTAATTACTCTTTCGTGGAAATTCACCTGATTATAGCTTAAAAATCTGTAAATGAGTTTTTGGAATACTGATTTACCATTTAGGAATATGATTGCGAATTCGTAGAATTTTAACATTCAAAAATTTTGCAAAAGATAAAATTTAATTACCTTAAAATAATTAATTTCGTAACTTTTCAGACTGTTAGTGCAGCAACATCATATTTGATTGTTCTGCTTCAATTTGACATGACAGATGACTTTCAAAAGTTGGTCGGAAACAACAAAACGACAACAACTGCTTAAATTTTCCTTCTTTTCAGCATCATTATTATCACCAAACAAAGTTGGAACTTTTTTTGCATAAAATTATTTTTAAATGTGTAAAGCAGATAAAGTTGGGATGGAAGTTTGAAATTTGAGTGTGTTTAAGGTGCATTTTTACATACAAGATGAATTTTAATGAAAATCTTTGAGGTTTTATTGTATTTTCAACTTTAATGTTGCCTTAACATGTCGAGTTCACTCCAATAAGTCCAGACTCTCGGGAACCTAACCTGGAATCTTCATTCAAAAGAATCAACCTGAAAATGATGAATTGGATTTAGAGCTTTGGTTAAATGAATGACAGGTCACCAGGACACTACCTTCAGACCTAGATCAACAGATTAATTAAGGATCCAAATTGCAAGAAAAAGTCAAAGAATTTCCAGAATCTCAAATTTCCCAACTCATCTCAAACTTTTTCCTATAACAATCATTGTATTTGTGTCAGAAATTTTTTTATTTTATTTTTCTCTCACAATTGAGTGTAAATTTTTTTGCATATTTTTTATCCTGCCAACTTTTAATTAGGAAGTTTATGAATTTGATAGTGAAAAAAAAATAAAAGTTTCTCGTATCATTTTAATGAAGAGAAAATGGAATGAATGAGCAACATAATGTTCACATAAAATTTAAATGAACTTTCATTTTAACATGATTTTCATTTATATTTTCTATGAGGAAATCAAATGAACGATAAAAAAAATATTTCTCATTCAATTTTATTATGGCTGTAGAATCGAATCAAATTTCACATTGCAATCGATACTCAATTTGTGGGATGAGGAGTTGATAGCTTTGTGTGGAGTGAGTTTGAAAAAAAAATAGAATAAAATTAAATTATATGTGTATGGAGATTGCACATCTTGCATAAATGGAACATTTGAAATATTTAAATCGAAATATTTTTAATGTGTTGGAAATTATTTTGTAGAATGTTAATTGAAAGGATGTTTTTGTATGGACTTTAGACAGTTTGGAAATAAAAATTGAGTTTTGAAGACATTTATTATGATTTTTAAAAGTAAGGTTGATAGATTCTAGATTATTTTCGTTCAAGGTTCCAATGAAATCATTGATTTTAATTTTGATGACGTTTTTGGGCATTAATTTTTAGATTAACAGACTACAACACAATATTTTCCATTTACCTTGATGTAACCCGCTGCAAAAGAGCATTTCGCATGATATCAACGTTCAAACAAACTTACCATGCCAAAAATTCATCCAGCAAAATTAAAACGACACTAATTCTCATGTATAAAGCAAAACAAAGTCGATACAAGCAATAAATTTCATTGAATACATTTTATTCTCCATTTAAACTGTAATAGAAAAGAAAATTATCGACAAAAGCTTTCAAAAATTGTTCTTCTTTTGCTTCTGAACGTAGTGAAAAAAGTTCAAGTCACTTTTTTTCCCAATATATCGAACATTAAAAGACTGTAAAAGATCGAAAGAATTTTCCCATCAATTTCTTTTTATTCCCATCTTCGTCTGAAAGTTCAAAAAGATTTACTGAAAAAAGAAAAATTAATGGAAAAAGAGAGAAACTTTCAAAATGTCTAGTTGGTATAATAGATGCTTCTTACTTGATGTATGATTTATTTTCTTTCTACAATTTTCTTCCTTCATTCTTATACATTATTATTATTCTTTTATTTATTTATTTTTATTTTTTTTTTTGCAACGTAACTTTAGTTATTACATATCATGGCATGTATTTATGTATTCATTTATAAATATATTGGGAATGTAAGTTATTCACAATTTTTCATCTTCACATATGTACAGGAAAATAATGAGAAAAATTCTTTCAAGGCTTGGACATACATATCTATGATGTTGAGAACCCTTGCAAGACACACTTTTTTTTAATTTGAGAACCCCCCCCCCCCACCGGACAATTTTTTACAAATTAAACATTCAACTTAAGTTTTATTTCCAGGAATTTCTATTGTTCTTTTCTTGCTGACCGCCCCCTGCCCCCTCCACACCCCTCCTCCCTTCCTGGTCTTCATAGGTGCAAAGGTTTGAATCAGAAAAAACGAGTTCAAAATTATAATTTTTTTTCAATAACTTAATTGCCCAATCCTTGAAAAATTCTTTTATCATATTTTCTTTTAATATTCTCAAACTTTACTTACAAACATTTCTCTTAATAAATATTAAATAAGAGCAAGAATTTCATTTTACAACGGAAAAACGTTTTCCTGTTCATCTTGTTGTTACTTTTTTTTCTTCAGTTGTTCATCTTCATCTCTCATAAATGTATTAATAATCATGTATGATTTATCTTAAGGGAATGAATAGTTTTTTTCTCGTCTGATAGCGTGTGCTTTCTGTGAATGTGAATGATAGATGCTGAGTGTGGGAGAAGTGGAAGGCAAGAAAAATGATAAATTTCATTTGTTTCATTTGCAACAAACTTTTACTTATGAATGTGGAAAAAGAGTTTAAATTTGTAGGTTAAGTTTTTAGTGCATTTTTCATGAATTATCTTAGATGAAACGTTTTAGACACCCCCCCCCCCCCATCTTGTATTCGAACGACCTTAGGGATCACTTATTGTGAATGGCAAAAATAACTTCCTTGTCAAATATCAAGCCCCCTTCCCCCTTAAAAAATCTGAGATTCCAAAATGCAAATAAAAGCGAATTTAAATCAGTTGAAATATTGCAATTTGCTCAGTCAAGGAGTCTGTGGTGTAAAGGAAGCACATTAGACTGAAAATCTAAAGGTGCAGGTTCAATTCCTGTCAGGTTCCAAAGATTTTTGCTTTTTTTAAAAAATAGCTTTTGAAATAATTTTTTACAATACTGCTTGAATAAATGATTTAAATGAGTCAGTGTTAGCAGGAAGAGTCAGAGGGAGGGGGGGGGGGGGGTTGTAGTTTTTAGGGGGGACAAAAATATTTAATTTTCCACTGAGAATTGTATTGATTGCTACTAAATACAAGGCGCAAGTAGCAACTTTCAGAACCGTAATCTTTGACTTTTATCCACCCCCCCCCCCCCCTCTCCAAAAAAATAAAATAATCGAACTGTGAATTCTTTGTTTAATAACCCTCAATTTTCAAACTTAAATTCTTGTTTGGAATTTAATTTCGACTTTTCTTATTCTTTTGCTATTCTTCGTCTAGGATTAAGGAAGGATTGAATTTCATAAAGCATAAAAAAACAAAGAAGGAAAAATTGTTATTATTCTTGGATATCAATTTCATTATCGGATAACACTTTGTTTTTGTTTATCTTAACAGGAAATTCTTCATTAATTATTTTTTAACATCAAATCTCTTCCACAAGATAAAGGAAATCCAATATTGTTTTGAATCCTGACAAACTTAAAGAAGCCAACATTGAAAATTAATATTTTTGTTTATTTAGTCTTTTAATGCAGTCAATTCATATAAGCAAAGTTCGTCTAGCAATAAACATTCCATGTATCCACTAGAGAATAAAAACATCATATTCATATTAAAACAATTCATCTCATCGTCATTTTGCAGTTTTATGCTCTTTTTGAGAAATTTAGATTCCAACTCATATAGAAATAACTGCAAGAAAAGCGATGGAATTTCCATTCTGTTAGCTTGCATAACACACATTACAATGAATTTTTGTGTGCAAGATAATAAAAATTAAAATTCACAATATTCACATTGTAATAATAATTACAATTCCCAACACATGACATCTCCACTTTCTTGTGTCACTTTGTATTTTATTCTCCAATGAAATTCTATGTTTGTCATTTTAACATTTTTGAGAAGAATGGGTGAATTGTAAGAGAATTTGTAATAAGGGCAGGGCGCACAAATGTTGCATTTTAATGAGTGTTTTTTGTGAGTTTAAAACTGCTTTTTGAAATCCACAATTTCGAAATTTTCACTAACCCTTACAAAGTATGTACGAATCTAGGGTATTGAGGAGGGAGACACAGCTAGATGGTGAGGAATATTGGGATTTAGGATCGATAGTTTTTAATCCAGAAGTAGTTTTTGGGATTATTGCAATTTATGAATTCTTGACGACCTTAACTCATTGGAGCGCTTGAGTTCTTGAAGACCTGAGCAGTTGTGTTCTTCGTCAGTACAAAAAATTGGTGTCTTCTAGGAAGGTATTCTGTTCCAATTCATACAAAATGACTAATGTCATGGACCATACCAGTTCTTCAGTCTGCCATTGAATTTTGAGGTTAAATCTATAAAAACTCTTAAAACTCATCATCAACTCTTCTCCCACCTCCTTCCCTTCAGCCAAAATTATCTCTTTAATCTATAGTTCCCACATCTGCTCCATAGCCAACCCTTTAACAACAAACAACTGAATATATCTAATGCATAACTGCAAAAACATTCCATTTTTTTGGGAAAAATTATTTTCACTTCACCCTCCATGAAGCAAATTTGAAAAGAAATGAAAGAAAACTCATTTTTATGACACAAATAAAAAAATTCCCTGTTTTCATATCTTGACTTTTTTAGAATTCTCTCTCGAGGACGGTCTGACTTCACATGGAAAAGAAGGAAAGAATGAAGAAAGCATTCAACATTTCTGAAATTTCTGTCTGGCAAAAATTTAATTATACGTTGAATAATTTTTTTTTCTGTTCCATCTACGGAGCTTTCTAGTTATGTAACACAAATAAAATAATGGAAGTAGAATGCTCACATTATATGCATCTTTTTTCATGTTAAATTTGTTGTCCTTTCATGTTGACTGTTTACAAATTTAAAATGAAAAAAGAGTCAAATTATATTAAAGTTCGGTCCACTGTGTGCTGTTGTGTCGACAAAATTGTTGCTTTTAAAATGAATTGAATTGTTTGGAAGTGTTGTTACCCTTTTGAATAGAGTTGTTTGTAAGTGATGTCCCACAAAATATGAATAAAATTTTGCTGATTAATCTTCGTGATTTGAAGTGGTTGGGCGATGCAGTGGTCAAGATCTATAGTATTTGGAATTATCCATGTTTCCTTGACGATCTCTAGTTCGAATCTCATCAGAGAATTTTGTATCCTTTACTCATTTTTCAAACTTGAGCACGATTGATGTCTCACCTCAAAGGCAAACGTCTCCTCTTCGATTGTTCTCTCACTTTAGCTGAACTTTGATTTGATGCAACTTTAAAATTTGCATCCTCAATTAAGGATCGAAGCATCAAAACTTAAATAAATCATTCAGTTTGTTAGCTTTGCAATTAGCCAAAAGAAAGTACTTTTCACAAAATCAATCCTTTTGAAGCATTCAACTTGAGATTTTTCTTTCCAAACTAAACTTTCACAATTTTCTTCTTTCTTTCTTTTAATATAAATTCTTGAAATGATGGAATTTCCTCTTTCCGATGAACTTTCAATTTTTATTTCTACATCACTTCTTCTTCCACTTGACATGATTCCAAAGGAAATGCGCTAAAAGTTAATTTTTTTTTTCTCTTTTATTTTCAATTTTTCATTCATAGTTTTCTTATTGTCTGTTTGTGCATGAAGTGAAGTAGAGAAAAATTATGAGAAGAGAAATGAAGGATGGAAAGACGGTGGAAATTAATTAAATTTTCTTCATGATTTTCAATCATTTCATTTCACTTACATTAAATCCTTTTTACTTTTTTGAACAGAGTTGACGGTTTATTCAGATTTTAACTTGATTTGCTTATGACTTTTTTGATTGATGCTTAATAGGTCTGACTGCTGCTTATTTTTGTTTGAGTTTAAATTTGAATTTAATGGCAAAAATTGAAATTTTATTCAAACAAAAAATTGAAATTGAGTGTCATTTGAGGAGGCTGATAAAGGACGTGGGGATCAGGGATGGGCAGAAACGAATTGAATAATGATCAATATTTTAAAGGGAGAAACTGGTAAGGGAGAGGGGTGTTTATAGTTTTGGATCTAAAGGTCATGTAGATTTAAGAAAAATTAGGTTCCAGGAAGTAAACTTGTCCTAGTATGAAAACAAAGAACCTTTAAAGATTACCTAATATTAGAGTCAGTGACGTAGTCAGGATGGATTTTTTGTATGGAAAAATTTTGGGGTGAGGAGGGATTGTTTGGGAGTTTCCCTTAAAACCCTATCATGAGTTCACCCAAATTTCCCTTGGCTACGCACCTGATTGAACTGATTAATCCCAATTAAACCACCAACTCTGTTCATGTCATTTCTCAATGATCACAAAAAAAAATCTTAATTTCCTTTCTATAAATTCTTTCCGAGACATTTTTTATACTTTTGATTTTGTTCTTTAATTTAATTTAAAATTTATTTTTTACATGCATTATTTCGAATGCTTTTAGGTATTATATGGAAATATTTTGAACTGAAAGATTTTATTTGATGTGATTTGATTGACTTTCCTTCCAGAATGACTTAAATATTCATCCCCTCCCTTACTAACATGACTCTTTTTAACCAAATCTTTATTATGTTTGCTAGTTATAAAATATCCAAGATGGAGAGGGGAAGGAGTTGTTGCAAATCGACAAATCGAATGAAATTCGAGAAATTGATATAAAAAAAACCATAACCAGGAACACTCAGCAATCAATCACAAAAAAATATATAATATCTCTCAGCTATGGTATTTAATAGAGGAAATGTTATTTTTCCATTTCTTATTTGAAAACAATTTCTTTTTTCTACAAAAACATTTTACATTACAGAGCACCTTCCCGTCCGTTCATGAATTACATTAAACTAAATTGCTACATTTTTCAACATTATCTGAAGCACAATAAAGTTACAGATGAGAATGGAAAAAGTTTTCATAATAAATTGTTGCTGTTGTCGATTGTTGTTCACAAAAGTTGATGCACTGCTTGACATGTCTGCTGTGGAAATAGATAAAAAAAAAGAAAATAAAAATTATTTGATAAATAAAATTTGTAGTTATTCATTTATTTAGTTCGACAAAAAAAAATGAGGAAAAAAACTTTCGACTATAGAGAGAGAGAGGAACGTACGTGCTGCTTTATTTTGAATTTCAAAAGATTTTTTATTTTATGTCGATTTGTTCAATAAAGCAAAATTTTTTACTTCACAAAATTTTATGTGAACGAAAATAATCAAATATCTTTCTTTATCCATTCCTTAATATAATAAATAAAATATGAAAAAATTTGTGTTTTGATGAAATTATTGAAAGAATAAAAAAAAAGTATTTCCTTTGTGAAATTGCACGTGTCATAAATTTCATCAAATTTTATATCTTCTGTTGATGCTGCTTTTCATAAATATTTTCTTGCTTTGCATTGATTTCTACATGCTTTCTATAAATATGAAAAATATTTTTTTATATCTTTTAAATTTGAAGAGATATAAAGTTTTTGGAAATTGTCAAGTGATGGAAACATAAACTAATATAGAAGCCGTCAGTTCCGAGTTGTTTTACGCAGCCAGACATACAAACAGACAAATTGAACCTTTAAGAGCATTGTTTCCTAGGGAAAATGAACCCTAAAAATGAGTTTTAGGGAATCATAAGTAACCCCTCTTGTTTTTTGGTCATTAGACACGCTGATTTCTAGGTCTACCATGTGCAACTTGCCCTTATTTTGTTTGGAAAATTTCACTCAATTTTGAGACTCTCTCCAACAAGACCAACTTGCTCAAAGTTGCATAGCAACGTTTCAAATATCAATATAATTTCCAGAACTACCCATACATTGTGGCAAAGAAATAAAAGCACTTAAATCTTATCAATACTATACAAAACATGAAAAAAGAGAAACAGCATTGAGAGCTTAACTTCAAGCAGCTTTTATTTGTCAACATATTTCTATATTCACACAAAAAAAAGAATTCCTTTAATATAATTTTTTGAATAATATATAAATGCAGTTTTCAATTGTTGTCATGGAAATTTGTGACATATGATGAATATAACTCTTGTGGTTTTTGCTCAACTTATGCTGATGCAAAGAATATAAAACCTTAAGTTGCAAAATATGCTGGAAAATGCTTTTGTGCATTTGTTTTGTGTTGAAACTTTCTAAATGCGCAAGCAGATCGACATCCTAGAGCGTATTCGAATGTAAAATCTTTGAAAATATGTAAAGAAGATTGTCAAAGAAATACTAAAGTAGAATGTGCTGTTGGAAGTAAAACAAAAAATGAAAGCTTTGCCTTTGAGGTTTTTACTTTGACAATTCATGCCTATAATTTTGATTTGTGGATTAACTTTTGATTATGCCTATCTTGGGACTTTGAACAAAGATTTGACATAAAGTTGGCGATGGAAGTGCATCAAGGACGTAGCCATATGTCCCTAAATAATCCAGTTCATACAAAATTAGGTCCAAGCATCTTAATATGCTCAAAATATAACCTTTTGCTCGAGCTATGATGAAATAGTCTTCAATCTTAAAGTCTACATCTTCCAAAAAAAAGTTCATTATCTAGCAATTGAAAGAATCTCTTCAAATCAACAAAATAAACCCTAAAGCGTTCACAACAACAATGCCTAATGCTTCATTATTGAAAATGAACCAATCCTTCTTCCAAAAAATTTTCTCAATCTTTATTTTGAGCAGTTAATCTTGCCAATTTTCTAGCAAACAAGCAGAACGCAAAGAAGAATTTCTCATGAACGATAAAAATAGAAAAAGATTTTCAATGAGTTGATGATACGCATCTATGATGGACATGATATATAAGTCAAGCAAATTGATGATGATTCCGCAAATTGACATGTATCTATGAAGAGAAAAAAAGGGAAAAGTTTTTCATTCTTGTTCTTATTCTTGGCTCTTGTAAATTATGAACCATTTGATGTCATAATTTATTTTCATTTGATATCAAATATCTACCATATAAAGTCATCATAAATATATTCTATGGACGGATGATGAAGAAAAGAAATGAGGAACTTTATTTCAGTAGACTTATTATATTCATCACATGTCAACATGAATACTCAAAGTTTCTTTATTTATTTGGAATTAGATGACAAGAAAGAAGACACAGTTCTGTAGAAGAAAGAAAAACTTACTTTTGGACAAATGAGTGTCTATAAAATGTTGCAAAAATAAATGGAAGAATTCTATGGTTATGAATTCGCTTACAAGAATGTGTGTGACTTATCCAGCCCTCTATAGGCTCAATACCAGCTGATATCGATGGATGTAGGTTCGGTCCCACTCAATATTCTATCATATGCAATTTGATGTTATTTCATCAACTAAAAGGTTATCCTAAATCTTATTTCAATCTAAACCGAAAGCCCATGTGATTCTGGCATGGTTTTGGACTCAAATCGAATCCAGTACGATGCCAAAGTTACGCCAGCTTGGTGCCAGATTACAATTCGATTAACCGACTTGTGCTATTCGGATAAATTCAATAGACATCAATATTATTCATGAATAATGCCTACAACAAACATACACAAAGTTTATCTATATCTGAGATTATTATGAACTTTATTACAGACCATTAAACAACCACAATCGAATCAATTTCGGCAATGAATAAGAAATTTAGTCATGAATAGGAAAAATGCAGCTTTCGTTTTGTGTCATGTCAATTTAAGAAATGAATTTTCATTTTAAGCCTTTTGAAAGTGCATAGAATGTGGGATGTGGAAGGTGATCTAGAACTTCCATGCGGCAATAGAAACATAAGTTTCAGCTTTTTCGAGTTATGTTTGAGGAAATAGAAGGAAAGTCTGTTTAAAACTCCACCTCTTGCTAATGTGTTCATTCATTTCATTATTAAAGAAAACTTTAAATTTTCCCACCAGGAAGTTTGTCATTCCTCACATATGATTCCCATTCTCGCATGAAATTCTCCATTCAACATATACCTTATTTCCCCTATTCATTCCTATGTCTCTCTATTTTACGTACACAAAAGAAGAAAAATATAAGAAATGAAAACAGAACAGAAACATTTTCAAGAAGACACCCGAAAGGCATTAAGGAAATATTTTCCTGTCATTAAATGTGGATTATGCATTAAACGTACGATTGCACTAGGTATGAATAAGGTTTCCTTTTTTTCTCATATGTGATAATAGATCTCTCATTGTTGCAATAGAAATAACATGAAATTAATTTTCCATGTTTCACTCTGTGCACCAGCAATCTCATTTTTTACAGCTAATGGCAAGATTTTTTGGAGGTTCTTAAGATGAAAATTGTAAATGTTTAGACTTATGTGGAGTTAAGATTTGGCAGCAAGCGATGATAACCCTAGTTACACTACTGAGGAGCATTCTACAAACAATAAAATGTGCAATTCTTAAAAGAGCTAAAGGATAACCCCTAACTGCTGCATACAGATGCCTATTATTCCACAATAAAGGAAAAAAAGAAGAAAATCCAAAGTGTATTCACAATAAATTGCTTCCTACTAACTTCTAATGCATTGACAGCAATTTTATGTCATGCATGTGTATCGTTCTGCTTATGCCTTTAAGATATTTGCTTCCTCCCTTTCTCTCTCTCGATGTTGTCTATTCCTCATACAAATAAGTAGTTAAAAAGAGCTTACCTTGGATTTGTGCATCATTATGATTGCTTGCTGAATCATATGTATCATGATATGATGAATAATGTGATGATGGAAGATCAATAAATGATTGTGATGCTGATGCTGAGAAAACAGTTGGTTGATCAATATCAATGAATTTTTCAGCACGCTCCTTATATAAATTATATATACTAGCTATACACGATATCTGAAAATTGAAAATTAAATGAGACATTAAATATAATCGATTGATTATTGAATGAAATAGATTTATAGAGATTATGAGAATGAGAGAAGATATTATTGCTAGGGTAGTCAATGATGAGAAAATTATGATTTCATTAGCTTAGTCAGTGATGTTGGTAGGTTCTTTTAATGTTTGAGGAAATATCCATATACAGTCAAGTAATAAGAGATATTCAAAACACCTCATTAAAGGATTTGGATCGTATTATTGATCAATAATAAGAAAATGTCTTAAAGTTTCCAAAATAATCTTTTTTCCATCACGTTATTGTCCCCTTTAAAAGAAAATGCTTTATAATTCGTTCATAGGGTCGTTCACTTATGACGTCCGAAATTAACAGTTAATTTTGTAAGAAAGAACAATGGATTTTCAGGGAGTTTTATTGTTCTTTTCTTGCTGACCCCTCCCATGGACGTCATAAGTAAACGGCCCCAAATTAAAATTGATTAATTTTTCTCGTGTTAATTTGGTTGTTAAGTTAAGTTTTGATCAACTCGAAATAAAACTTAAACCTTCGAAGATTTCAAATTATTCTGATCTGTTCTGATCCTTCATCATTAAAAGATGCACTAGCAGGCAATTTACGATTCGTTTATCATCATTTGATTGTAGACATTGCAATTTAATTCAATTTTCTTTTGCTCGGAAAGTTTTCTTCGTACTTTTTTATGCTCAAGTGAATGGAAAGAGCAAAAAAAAAAGTTTTATGCAATTACATTAATTGAATGAAGATGAGAGTAACAAAATCAGAGATTAATTAGGCGTTTATAGAGCGTTTGTGAAAGAAATAAGTTAAACCTTAATGTCCATACTGAAATGAAACTTAATTCAAAAAATCCTAATTCATTCCGAAGTTTATAGCTTCTGATCCAGAAGTTAATCGTCTAAAATCGAATAAAATGTAATGAAATCAAAGACATCTCCAGGATATCCAATTATTTAATCGCATTTAACCACTTTTCCTCTTAAAACCATTTGATGTTTTTTATTCAAACGCCTTTAAAGTAATTGAAATGTTTATGAGAAAAAATTGATTTAAACAGCATGATTGCAACCCTGACTTGAATACTCTGAAACCTTTAGCAAGCTTCATAAATATTTTTTTCATCTAATCGAAGGATCAACCGACTTCTCAGAAGGATACAAAAATTGTAAAGAAATGGCAGAAAAAAATTATGAATTGCACAGCAGTGGTCTGCAAAAATTAATAAAGGAAACCCACAGCAAATCATTTTTAGAAGTAAAATTTGACATTTTCTTGGTAATTAAAAAAATTTCTCTGATGCTCGTGTTACTGTTGACCTCTGAGCAAAATTAGGAAAATTGGTAAACAAATTTTAAGATTTCTTGACTTTCTGCATTAGGTAAAATGTTATTTGGGGTCGTTCATAAATGATGTGAAACCTTTTAGCAAGGAGTCTACAAAGATTAAGCTTAAAAGACGTCATTTATGCACAAACCCCACCATAAAAATTCTACCTTGACAAACAAAAATGATTAAAGACTTCACAAAGCAAGTCACCTTCATCTCATTTCTCAAGAAGTTATAAAACAAAACTCACCTTCAAACGTCCATTTGAAAAGTGCTGCTGTGTGAGTCGCAAGAACAATCCTATTGTATTTGATACTAAATTTCCAGATTCATCTTTCAATAGTGGATATTGTCTTATCGATAATGCCATCTGGATTGCAATTAATTTGATGCAATTTTAATGAAATGTTGCAGAAAATGAGAATAAACAAAAAAAAGCAATTAAAATTTATGTCAACAGCAGCAGCAATAAAAAAAAATGTTCAGTCATATCATACCGGCATATCGTTTATCAGCCATGTTAAATTCGCAGCTGGTTTCGAGTATTGACTCGAACAATTGCCTCTTATCAGTTCACCTATTCTGTAATGTGATTTAATTTCTGTGATAATCGGTTTACTTTGAGGCACGTCAACAACTTCCATCTCGCTAGAGACTGCGGATGTAAATGAATCTATTGTTATATCAGATAATTAATTTTAATTAAGTATTTAATTACCTATTTCTGTATGAAATGATGGAGCATCGGCTGATATTTCACATATGTATTTGCCAGATATCGACGGCTCCACTGATTTCAATATTATGTAGCTACTATTTGATGGTGCAGGCTGTAAATAAAAATATTATTATTGTATTAAAATAACAATTCAAATAGCAATTGTGTCATTATGGCATCACAAATGATACCGCAAATGTGAGGGATTTTATGTCAATAGTTAAGCAACTATAGCCACCCAAAAAGTGCATGTTTAATATTTTGAATTATTTGTCAAACATCAAACAGATGTGAAATTAATTTTATTTCAATATTTTGTGAGGTTTTTGGGAAATAATAATTTGATTTTTGTGGCTTGTATTCATTACATTTGTCAATGGGTCGCTTTGGGTATTAATTTCAGAAAATTTACGGTCGAATATTTTCAAGGTGATGCCTTGAAGCTTTCAACAAACGTGTTGTGAAGAAGAAATGAGGGACCGAGAGTTTTTTGGATGAAGCTTATGGCTTTAAAGGAAGCTGTTCATAATTTATGACTTTTTATTGGTTCCCCTTCTTAGGTTTTCATATTTAGTGAGAATTTGACGACAAACTGGACCATTCATCATTGAATTACACAATAACTGAATGTCTCCTCAAAAAAATAAAAAAAAACCATTAAACCCACAAAAAAGCAGCAATGCGGTTGCTTCGGTCCTTTCATATATTTAATCTGTAACCCCATGCAATCATGAGAACCAACTGTAAAATTCCAAAGCATATAATTTGCTCTATATTTTAAAGCATAACAATATTCAACTATATTTATCTCTAATAAAATTAAATTGCCATTCATCTGTCACTTTCCTCAAGCACTCACATACATATAAATAAACAAACCAGCACATACATCCAGCATCCTTATTTAACCTATTCAACTCTTTCCCTCCCAATTTTTTGGATATTATGTAAAAACATTTCATGCAGACAAACAATTTTGTGGTTTCAAAATTTGCTCATTCGCAACACAAAATTTTCCATTTCTCTTACCGCACAGCCATTGTAAAGTGGAACATGACTTTTTTGCTTATTTGCATTTTATATGAAAATTTTAAAATACCTTCTCAATTTTTTTTTTACTTCTTGCTCTGGTTTTTCATTCACTTTATTGTTTATGCAAGTTTACAAATGTAGTTCAATTAATTAACATTTTATCATGGTTCTTCGTCGTTACTATGAATGCAGTTTAAAAATTATTTTCTAGAGAATTATTAAATTTAAAAATGCAGTGTTGAATTGGTGCATTAGCATGGCAATGAACAATTAAAGTGAGTATTTTAAGGATGATATTTTTAAATGTCAATGAAATCACAATATTGTTGTTCCTTAAATTTTTTTTAAGCTTCCCTTAGCCTCTTACATGGACCTCTTATCCTCATGTATAGCTTTACATCAGCTACACGCCAGATTTTGGCTTAAAACGAACAATTTTCAAGATAGTTTTAATGCTCGAACCTAGTTGCTAGGATAAAACACCGAGAAAGCACCTTAATCTAACCAGATAAATCCTAAGATCTAACCCAAATCGGAATATCAGAATGCAGACACATAAACTTCTCCGCATTAGCTATAAAGCTGATTATGTGCTAAATTACATAACTTCCATTTTATAAATCTTAAAACATCAAATTCCTTAACCTTAAAATTTTAGTAATTCTAAAACAAATTAAATTATCATCAATTTCCTTTTAAGCATTACTAATTAATTTTCCCATTATCGTATTCAAAACCTAATAAATAACAAACATATCAACACGTGCTTAGAAAACTGAAACGAGAATCATGAAGCTAAGCTCATACATATATGTAAGGAAGACTATCTTATTACTGTCTCTGACAGTCAATTACATAAAAGACTATTATGTCTGTCAAAAGTTTTAGATATTAGTGCAACTTATGGTGCTTCTCTTGTTTCATCTTGAAGAGCTTGTCTAGAAAGAAGCTTTATGTGAATAAATTTTATTTTTTAGAAGCAGCAACTGAGACGCTCTTGAAAAAAGTTTCCAATTAAAACTACAATTTTCTCATTTTGCAGTAGTTTAATTTTGAATGAGATTCATGTGAAACTTTACAAATGCTGTATTTTGTGGATGCAAACTATTTTTTTGTGAATTTCTTTAGAATATTTATTTCTAAAATCCCCCTCAACTCACCCCCCCCCCCCCTCCCACCCAAACATCTCGATTCCTTATTAAATACTATTATTGATACAAGTCAAACAAGACTCTCGTTCATACAAGATTCTCATCGCTATAAGTACCTCGTCCATCCAAGACCCTCGTCCCTTTAAGAACCTCGTACATACAAGACACTCATCCATACAAGGCCTTCTTTCATTCAAGACCCTCTTACATACATGATCCTCATACATGCATGATCCTCATACATGCATCCACACAATCCTTACAAAAATAATCTTACAAAATCAAAATTAAATGATTTCCTTGATGAACTTTCCCTTTGTCTCAGCCAGTATATTAATAACATCTACAACTTCTGTTGTGCCTCATATTGTACTAAATTCTACTATTATTGTGAACTCTAAACACCCCCAACCATTGCCTAAACCCACACAAACAAAACAAAAGATTTTCAATTTCAACATTTTTCCTTTTCCTTAATCCATTTTCCATTTTCTTTTATGATATAAAAATTACTTTATGATTCACATATTTACCCGCAACATTTCTTCCAAAAATATATTATTTTCTCAATCCATAAAGTTCAAGTGAGATAGAAATAAACTTGAAAGAATTATCATGGGAAATATGGTGAGAAACAGCAGTTTTAGTATTCAACAAACCAACTTCAGCTATCATATAGAATTCAGTGAGAAGGAAAATTATTATGATTGTACAATATATGAAGGAATGGAAGGAGGAGGAATGCATTGTAGCTGTTTCATGAATGCAATGGAAAATTGTAAGTAATAATATACAACAAAATACTTTTGTTAAAATAGGAAAAAGCATTTCTTAGTTATTATTTGCTATAAATTCCATTTTACTCTCAGAAATGCAGCACATAATAATTCAAATCTCTCATAACTCAACTTCTGATTCCTCTGTCGTTTTTTCATGCGAGTAAATTTTAAGAATTTTTTTTATTAATCTGACTTTTAATGCACGAAAAGTTCTTTTAAAATTAAATCTTGTAAATAATTTGTTTGATACTTTTGTGAAATGTTCAATGATGCGAACTTGTAAATCCTTTAAGCCAGTGGTTTCTAATCGTTTTTGTACCACGGCATACCTTGAAAGCAAGCCATGATCGAAACCTCACACGTGTAGATCTCGCTATATCTGCCATATGTGTATACTAATGTAAAACAAGTCGGGTATCGATGAGAATCGAACCCAAGACCTCGAAAAGGGCAATCTCTGACCACTCGATCCCTGCCACTCGACCACCGTGGTACTTATCTCACTTGGACTTTTTATCATACACATATAACCAGTTTTAACGCGAGCCCTATGCTCAGGCCTTGTCTCTACTATAGATATGCTTTTCGAGCCATATCCACAACACGGCAAACGATTCTTGGCATTTTCTGATTTTTTTTCGCGGTACTTGGGTTGGAAATTACTGTTTTAAACTCATAACGTTAGTTGTAGCATAGCTGTAAGAATTAATATTGAATATCAGACCTAGACCATCCCACCTTCTTTCCATACATTTCCACTCACTTAATACAAAACAAATTTAAACCCAATATCCTGAAATCGTTGTGAAATCATATGATATGCCAAATTAACGGATGATGAGCAGATTAAAGGTCAGAACAATATTATTATCCGGGAAAAAGAATTCATATCGTGTACGGAAATGTGAAAAATTAACAAAAAGAGAATTAATTATTTTCTGCAATCAAATTATTATCATTCACAAAAAAAAGCAGAATTTCAATTATGCAGCTATCGTATTTCCATCACGTTTCTCGAACAACAGCGGTTATACAAAAGTAATGGCAAATTATTCACATGTACATGAAAGAAGAAATTTAATATACAATAAATTCGTGAATATGTGTGTGTAATGTGAGCTTCCTCCACTTTCAATTTATATTTATTCCTTGCATATACATAGATCCATATATTTCATATATTACACAAACAATATCCAATTCATCTGATTACGATGAGAATAGTACTGTATTGTGGCATAGCTGGTGCTGCTAAAATAGGAAAATCATTTTTCATCACTAGACAATAAATTAAAAGCTTTAAAGCATCCTTTTTTCAAGCTACTGCACCATACAATTTTTGGGGAGTAGAAAGAAGTGTAACATTACTCTCACAACAAGCGACAAAAGCATTCCAATTTTATACTCTCGATGCAATTTTGTACCATAGAATGTGCATTCATATAACGAAATTTTATGCATTCGGATGCTTGTTAAATGAGGAAGAAGAAAGGAAGCTGAGAGCTTTGACGATGCAAAGCAATGTAATTAATTATTTAGGAATTTAGGAGTTGAAGTGGCTGAAATGTGTGTAGAAATTATTGTTCGGATGACAATAGTGACCTAAATAGTTTATGAATGGCATTCAAAATCGTAAAATTGCTTTGAGACAAAGTTTGATATTTTTGGTAGAATTTTTGGCTGAAGGTGGATGGGAATTGGGTCAAATGTGAGCAAGCATATGAAAGACAAGTACTTAGACCCCTCGAAGAATTCAGAACTGATAAATGGAACCTCCACTCATCTTTACTTTCTCTCTTGGTACATCAGATCTAACAATGTCATCTTGTATATAACTCAAAGCTCCCCTACTACGTCTCTACATGATCGATCAACTTAATACACTTGATCTTGCAATGTGAACAGATCTTCTTGCTTGTATATTGAAAACGTTTGTTCTACAAAATTTTGAGGGTGCGGAACTGATGAATTTTGGTAATCATCAGTGCCACACCCTTGCAAAATATAAGTAGGGAAACCAGCATCCATTTCAACAAATGACCTCATTTACAATCGACTCTACTGATGACATTTCACCAGAAATTAATGCATTCGTTTGATCCCCAAACACAACAGAAAATATCATTTTTCAACAACAAGAGTGCAGACTTTAAAAGCCATTTCCCACTGCTCTACACAATTTTTCAATAAAACTTAATAATATAAATTTCTGGAAAGCGTGTAACTAGATGCAGCTGAGAAGAGCACGTAATGAGTTCACCCCTTTTTTAGTACGCCATAGAATACATGCATGCGGTATGTAATTTTATATTCTAATAGCAAATCGTGATACTCCAAGTTGAATAAAACTATTGTTTTTGTCACATTTAAAATTAATTTTCTTATATTCACTTCTGTAGCTACATTTAAAGGCGTGATATTTGCAATGTTTTAGGGATTGGAAAACTTTTTGTAATAAGAACTCGAGAGATGGGGATACGTTCATTAGGTTAATTGGATTCATTTCTTTAAAGCTGATAAATTTCCACTTCAAGCCCCTTCCACGTTTTGTAATCGTAAACTGACATGTTTTGTTATTTTCCACGAGAATTAGATATGAAGAAATTTACACCTGCTCTTCCTCACATCTCTTGTTGTTATCTACTTTTGAGGAAAATTAGGAGCATTATTAGCTTCCAGGTGTATGTAAATGATATGGTCTCATTAGGTCCTAGTGCTTTAAACAAAAGGAGCTAAACATAATCTTCACAATCGTCCAAGCTAGACCACATAGCCATCTAGGCACTGATACGCTATTATATCTATAGGATAACATCAGAGTGACGCAGGAAGTGCCCTTCTGGTACCTACACAGTTGATTGAACTCAAAAACTATGATTTCCAGACTCAGACCAGTTCATAACTGTTCATAATCACTTAACATGTCATTCTTCAAACTCAAACAACCAAGAAGTTTAAAAGCTAATATCCTCCTTCATCATCAACTCATCTGAATCCATACATAGCAAAATCATTTTATTAATGGCATAATATGTTGAAAAGAAGCATAACACGCACCAACAGCCTGATGTCGAGGATGTATAGTAGGCAAACACAAAATAAAAACGCTCTCAAAACTATACAGGAGAGGAAGTAGGAAAAAAACCTTTTTTAACCTGTATACATATACACAAAACATTCACTCACATAAAAGGTGTTGAAAAACTTCCGGTACATCCATATACAGAATTCTCATATGTGTGTAATAAAGAGCTTTATTGTGGAAAATTATTTTATTGTTATGGATGAAAATTTTTCTTCTTCTTCTTATGTGCCATGGATGGGAAAGTAACGAAAGAAAATAAATATATTTTATATGATTGTATTTTGCACATTCACAACACCTTTTGCATAATGTTGAATTGATTATAATAATTTTTTATGCTTCAAGACTCCCATACTTCAAACAATTTTGGTGAGGTTCAGGTTAGGGGTTTGTGGTTGTGACGCATTCGTCATGTCAGTAAGACATTGCATCAAAGCTAGTCACCAGAACAGTCATGAAAGAATGTCAGGTGACAGAGCCAGTAACAGAGTCAGATGGAAAGCCTTTAGCTCCACATAGGAACATACCCAAAAGGGCTCAACCAAGGGGAGAAGATAGATTTATTTTCATATTCCCTCGAACTCAACCCCTTATTTCTATCAAAGCGTAGAGGAGAACCTTAACGACAACATAAGCCAGACACTACCAGGCGCGTAGCCAGGAGGGTCTTGTACCCCTCTTAAGCGTTTTAGACCGTGCTCTCGCTACGGTCTAAACCTCTGGCTACATGCCTTGACACTACACTATTAAAAATCAACACATTTTTACAAAAGAACCGTTGAAAAATAGGAAGCAAAGCACTCTTTCCGTTCCTACTTTTGCTGATGCTGTTGATGTTATGTTGTAATGTTATGGCGTGTAAACGTTAAGCTCTATAAATGTTAAATGATGCTTATATTGAAGCGTGTTTGAATGTAAAGGGATTCTGTAATGATATAAGTAGGTTTTATGTGAGAACTTTAATGTGGATGAAGGAATTTTTAAGAGGACTTTTTAAGACGAAAGTAGCTGAACATTAGCTTTGTTTGTTGATGACTGAAGTTTATGAATATTATTAGTGTAAGGAGGTATCTGAAAGCTTCATGGCTAGCATGAAGATTATTTGTTAAATGCATCAACTCGATGCCATCGAAATCCACTTAAATCTCCTCAACGTCCTAATTTTAATTCACAAAACAGCTCTCGATTCGACACAACATGCTCATTACAAAATTTCTACAGCATTTTAACTCCCAATTTTCTATTCATTGATTTGAAATTTTCTACACCTCCGAATCCGCAAAATAGAAACTACCCATTTTCTATCACACCACACCAATTTCATCATTGTTTGTTATTTGCTGCTGTTATAAACATGAAAATCAATTATGAATTAGCATTTTACACCGCAGGAAAATAGTACAATAGAATCGAGTGTGGAATAGCAATAAGCGATAAAACAAAATTCAAATCTCATATGGGAAAATTTGAATAAATGAGATGTATTCAATTTATCTCCCACGTAACCAAAATCCCATAGATGGACGATACATGTATTACGCGAAAATATTCCATGTATAGTCCATGCGTATCATCCATGGATGATACATGGAACGATATTGTCCTAAGGAGATGGATGATATAATGTACGATTTTGGGGACGTTCCATGTATAGTACATTGATGTAATACATTTGTGCGATTTTGTGTACTATACATGTTTAGTGCATTAATGTAGTACATTTGTACTATTTTGTGTACTATAAATGGATTGAAACGCCTGAAATAAAAAAATGCTGGATTTTTATTAATTAATGCACATATTCATGATTAGAGTTTAAATAATTTATGTCAAACTCTTTATTTATTAAAAATCAACATAATTTTAAACTCAAAACATTAAAAAAGGCCAATTTACACAGAAAAAACTTATCACTGTAACTCAAAAAAAATTAATTTCCTGGAATATCTTTACAAAATTATACCTTAAAATAGACAGAAAAGAAACAAGAAAGAATGATTAATATATTAGATGTTTAAAACATCGTAGACATTTTACACTTTAAAAATTAATATTTTTTTTCTTACCTTATTAATCGATGTTTTACTATCTTCCCTATAATTACTCACCAAACAACATTTCTTGCTCCTTTTAATTATTTAAGTAGCTAAATTGTGCGTTTAAATTATATTTTCACTTCACAACAATTTTTACAACACATTTTTCACATTGTAAACAAATAACTTAAAAAACTAAAATGCAGCAAAAAAGGTTCTTAATTGTCTGAATGGCCAGATTTTTAAAGTGCTACATAGATGTATTACTTATGGACTATACATGGATATTTCATGTATGTAATACATAAATGATACATAGTGTACTGTTTTAGGGAAAGTACATAAATATTCCATCTATGTCAATGGAAAATGTGTGGAATACTTTGGTTACGTGGGCTAGCTATATATATGTGAGAATCTATGCATAAATTGTGTATGTGTTGGGATTATATAATGATAAACTGTTAAATGTAAAATTGATGTCCTTAGAGAATATCATTCAATAGAATTTGGGCAAAATGTTGGAATTCTTAAAGTTTAAAGACTGAATTAAATATTTGCGAAAGGTTTCTTAAACTTAGCTCCTAGCCTAATGCCACAAAGGCAAATAACATCAATGTGGGCTTGTGTAGCTCGAATTTGATGCATATCGGCTTTTTATTTTGTCTTGTGACACAAAACGCCTTTATTTACTTAATATTTGAATGGCAGATGATCTTTGAGACCTAACAGAAAGATATGGTGCCTGTGGTACCGGCTATATCTTAGCAGTAGCTATTTTTACCGTTCTGGTTTTGGACCATGTTAATAAAACACTTGAAAATAATTAAAATTTAAAATCTCAATAAAACTTACTTCAACATAAATCCCTGGAACGGGAAATGTCTGTAGTGATGGCTCCTTTTTCGGTGTAAACCGATAAAATTCCCTCTTTCCTTTATACCATTTTAATGAGTATAGTGTATCGCCTTCCAAATCATATAGACACATTAAATTTACATTTTCACCACGCCTCACAGCAGTCGGTACTATCACTCTTACGTCTTTTAATGTCAATACTATATCTATAATGAGATAAATTGAAGAAAAAGAAATTTATGAATAAATTATTAATGAACGAATAAACATTTAAATTTAAATACATCAAATTAACAAGTGTTAAGTCAATTAGCAATTCAATTTGAATTCATTTAAATTTTAATTGCTTTTTCTGGCTTTTCCCTACTTTCTTTCCACATCCTCTTCTTTTGTGTGTGAGTGGCACAGAAATAAAAAAAGTTTTGCTTAACTTTGCTTTACATATTCTCTCAAAAGCTTGTGACTTTTATGGTAATTTATGTTCTTCTTATTTTCTGTGGGATTTTGTCGAAAACTTTTGGATTCAATTGCCTTATGACTCAACTTTTCATTCTCGGAAAATTTAATTCAATTCCTTGAAATTTTCGTTTTGAGAATCCATCGACTTGTATTGTTCTTACTTCTTCAGAGTCTAACTTCATAAAAATTCATTCAAATAAAAATAAATTTGAAGCATACTTCCTACAACAACCTACATCCTTTGTAAGTCGGTTTAATTCTCAAGAATATGTCGTTCTATTTGACAAGCCTAATTTAGGTTTTCAAAGTATCTCAATTAATTTCACTCGTGTGCACATATTTCATATTCTGAGCTTGTATATTTGTAATGAATGCTTGATGCTTCTCAAAAAATTTCAACAGCATTTTTCATGTAGAATGTTTTTATTTGACGAGCATGTTAAGATCTGAAACAGCTCCTTTAATGCTTTTTAAATGCATGAACAAGTAATTAAAACTGACAACATGCAGTTGACATTTTTTAACATTATTGATGCTCATATTATGTGTTAGGCTCAGTTGAATGACCAATGTTCTTAAGAAAAGGTACATGAAAGAGATTAGTAGAGTCAATGGTAAAGCTAGGAAGGAAGTAAGTTCAAATAAAATTAACCCCCCCCCCCCTTAACTCGTAGACCACTCCATAAAATTCACAATAAATTTTCAACAAATAAATCCATATTAAATTTTTATTATCAACTATAAACATCCTTTAAAAAATCCTGAAGATCCTTAATGCCATTTTCATTGATTAAATTTTCTTTCCTGTTCAACAACAAAAATCTTATTCTGTAAATATTTTCTCAAGAAACATTCAAGCATCAAGAAAATCGTTTAATAAAATATTTAATGATATTTTTCCTTCTCATTGCTTTAATTTTTGAGATTCTTTTTCCACTGTTGCATACATCCTTGGATGTCGTGGGATTTTTTTGAATCATTTTTTGAGGAATACATTTAAAATTATTAAAGAGATTTGCATAATTTTATTAGGTTTTAAGGTATTCTTAGCATTAAAGGTTTCATGTTACTGAACAATTTTGATGAGAATTTAATTTCCGTGAGAAATTGGAGCTCGAGAAGTCCATGCTTGAAGACATTAAAGGAATTTTTGTTATTAAATATTTAACAGAGATCGAAGCCGATTTTTTCGGCTTAACTCAATTTTTGATTATTTTGATAGAAAAAAGCCATTTAACACCCATTTTAAGTATTTAAATTGAACTTTACATGCTTTACTATGATTCTGTGAAATATTTTTTCAGCATGTAGCTTTAGTAAGCTCTGAATTTCATTTTTAACATTCTTTAACTTGAAATTCTGAGCTCACTATAGCTACATGCTGACAAAATATTTCGCAGAATCATAGTAAAGCATGTAAAGTTCAATTTAAATACTTAAAATGGGTGTTAAATGGCTTTTTTCTATCAAAAATTGAGTTAAGCCGAAAAAATCGGCTTCGATCTCTGATATTTAAGAAAGGCAACTTCAGATTTTAGGATATTTTGGATTCTATAGTAAGCGATAACCTTCCAAATAAATAGTTTTGTACCCAAATATAGAATCTAACCTACATAGTGCCTAAATAGCATAAATGCGACTAATAGTAGCTTAGGACCAACATAGAATTGTCATAATCTTAATTGTATGCCAAAGTAGCACCTAGTCAACTTCAAAATTAATTATTTGAGTTCTCATTGCCACCAAACATCTATAAACTCAAAAAATGCTGCCTAAAACCTCAGCAGCACTAACAAAATCATTCCCAAAATAAACAGAACGAAGAAATTTCAAAAGCTATTAAGAGATCATCTCATCTCATTTTCATTTCTTAAATTTACACAAGTAATCACATCTAAACAACACAACTCTTATCTCTTCCATCCATTTATTGTTATTCCTACCGAATCAAGATAGTACACAGAACCAAAAAGGAGATAAAAAGTGTGGAGAATGAAAATCTGAATGTGAATAAAGAACAGCTCTTTATGTAGTCACATGCCATAAACAAATATTTGCTCTTGAATTGGAAAAGCTAGCAATGGATTATGAAGAAGAGAACCTCAACAAAATGGAAATGTGAAATGAGAGAATTGAAAATAAAAAAATGGAATAAAAGAATATAATAATGCTGAAAAGAAGGTATTTTACATATTTGCGGCCTACAGATGGGGATAGAGAATGGAAATGGCTATTGTATAGATTTAGGGCGCTTTAATGTGGTTGTTTAGATTCAAATCAGCATGAATTTGTGATTTTTAAATCTCTTTAAACTGACATAATTCTATTGCAGCTGTAAATTGATTTGAGGCTTCATAAACTGTCTAGGATCTTAGATAATACATCTTAGAAGTGTCTTTAAGGTTTCAGACTCTTACAACTTTGTTAAAGCTAGAGCTAAGGACTCCTAAAAGCTGACGATCATCCTCCTTCAAATGTCTAAATTTGACTTTAATAACAGAATGCAATTAAAGGCACACAAAGTTTTAGACCCCCCCTTAAAAGCTGCACCACATATCATCAACATCCAAAAAAGTCCAAAATGCAATCTAACAGCCCATAATTTTCACAAAACTGCACATAAATCTGCTATGTAGTAAAAGTATTAAAACATGCATATAGCAACAATATTCAGATTAATTCAGCGCTATCAATGTTGTAGCCATTTTTTTCTTCTCTCCAGCAATCCTTTCATTCCTCTCATGAATCTTTTTCATTTGTAGGACAGATATGGATATACAGCATTGTTTGTGATTTATCGCAACACAACAATAGTCATAGGAATATTTTTTTTATGCTTAAAAAATACCCACTGAGCAGTCTGTTGCTTGGTTTCTCATGGATATTTCAAATATGCAAAGGACGTAATTTTTTTTTACGAATGTTCAGTTCAGTGATTTTTTTAATAATAATAAAAATGTTTTTTTCATGGAAAAATATTTAAATTATTTTATTGTTGCAGCATAAAAATTTCCGGCAGTGGCTTCAAGTCGGTTAAATCTTGGTGGTAAGGGAGAATTTTTTGTGGTGTGGACATATGTAGCACAGACTTTATTTTTGAAATTTTATTTAAGTCACTTAAAATGTTTGTAGTTCAGTGGAGTGTGCGATTGTGCACTTATTGAGTAACATATCTTGGTGGTCGAGTGCTTAGGGTCTTTAAGATGGAAGGAAATCCGAACTTACATGTCAATCTTTTTCAAAAAACAACTTCGAGTCTTGAAAAGGACTCAAATATCAGTTACAGGACAAAAATTCCCATTTGCACACACAAAGCACTTTCCAGAAATTAATTAAAAGGCTCTACGAATTTGAGAGTTATGCAATTAAGAATAAGCATCATAATCTTTTAGTAATCCCAGTAGCATTACAGTTTCCATTTTCATGCTTGTTCATATAAAATGCTTTTACCTGTCGATAAAATACTAAACATTCCATTTTAGGAAATAAATTCAAAACATCATCGAATATTGAGTATAATATAGATAAAGAGCCAAGCTATGAATGTCAATAGTGCATTCTTTTTCCGTTTCCATAGACACATAAATGCTCTTTTTTCCAAGCAGTATTGAAGGTAGAAAACTAGAGATTCAATCACATATAATGTCATGAGATACTAAAGGATGAACAATAGGTATTGGAAACATTTACAGCATTTTAAAAGTTAAATCTGATGTTTTGTAGCACTATATTTGGACATTTTTGACAGCATCCTTTCAATTAGATAAAAACAAAAAGGATTTGAGTAAAATGTAACAAAACTTCAATCAGAACTTGATATATAGCATTCCATAATAGCAAAACGTTTAGAACTCCTGAATAAACTATTGAATTCCTTTGATTTGATTCATTTGATATCCAAAACTATTTAATTAGTAACAATTGCATCCCTTTTGAAATTTAGTTGATTTACTTGAAATAGTTATTGAATTCTTTTGTGGTTTGCCAGCTGTTAGAGAACTGAAATTGATTCTTGTGTATCAATGTGATTTCAAAAACCAACATTTTCCTGCAAATCTATGTAAAATCGAACAAGATTAGGCAGCATTCCCACTCTCATGTAATTTAATAAAAAAGGAATCAACTAAAATTTTAACTATTTTACTTCTGCTCTTGTGTTCTGTGTTTGGGGATTTGTAGTATCATCTAAAAGGCATTCATTTGCAATGATAAGACTACACAAAAAGAGAGCGAGGTGCATTCTTTGCTTTTTTAGCGCATTTTTGAAACTTGTTTCTAAAAGGTAGCTTAATAATACACTTTATTCGGCTGTTCGGCTGCTCGGGCGAATAAAAATTTTTTAACCAGACATCGTAGAGAGCTCGGGTTTGTTTTATTAGCTCCGTTACTATCGATTTATAGACCCATCGAGTGGTTAAAAGTCTTGAAACAGTGTATTTGTACTATAATTAATGATTTTTATTTTGTTTTCAGTGTAATCTGCCCAAATTTTGTTTTACCTCTATAATTTCAACGTTACCTCTATAGTTTCAAATTTTTTTCTAGCCGCTGTAAAATTTGAATTTGAAAAGACCGTTAAATGATAAAGCCTTACTATATGGAAATTCATTGTAATTATTTGTTAATTACACTTAAATTAATGAACTTCTAATCTTCTCATTATCTGTAAGTGAATGCAAAATAATTAGATAATCAAATACTGATCGATAACACAAAAATGCGCTTAAGTCCCTCGATCAATAACACG